CAATAGAATTAGACTCACAAAATAATTTCTTTAGGATATTGGATGAATATCCTAACACATTCGTTCCTCAAATAATGACGATTTGTAACATGTAAAACAAACTAAGTTGATATATTCTTAATTTACTGAATATTTTCAGGTTATATAAAATTAGAGCTCTTCATGTTAACCATTTGAACTGTAGTTGGTTATGTAGTGAAGGAGAACACAGGTGAGGGCAACCGAATTGTATTTATCGCAAATTACAGAGTTAATCAGTAAAATAGGAAAACCATATCGTAAACGGTTAATTTGCAAATCTTCAATCCATCATCAATCCATAATCTGACATTTCACTATTCATGCGTTTCATACAAATCCCATTGTGTTCCCACTCTTCCTTTCTTTATCCTCCCCCATCTTCTGCTGCCAGACATTACGTTTACACTCGCGTCATATACTACTTATAAGTAGCGCGCACCACAGTTATATAAATAAATATCTACATGCGACAACTAAATTGCAATCAGTTATTCTTACTACAAAATACTGACAGTTATCTGTCAACTCAGCTATAACAGACAATTCATATAAGTAACTAACACCCTTAACATATTTATGGTGAGAAATCAACTGAGTTAATTATCATATTTTGAAATCAGTATGGTAGAAAAGACTGAAACTTTTATTAAAATATATGAATTGTGACCAGCAGTATAATCCAGAATATAAATTTCATCCTATTTGGCCCTCATTAGCTGAGGTTACATGCATAGCGATGTAGATTTTCTCTGTGAAAGTTTGATTTTACTATATATCATTTGAAACTCCAATTAGTTTTTGACCTAGTTATTAAGTCCAGTCAGCCATTAATTTATTAATGAAGGGAATTTGTGAAGATTGTATTACTTTCAAAGTTGGAATCTTGAAGTGATTTGAGCTAGATCGCTATCGGATACCTCGAAACAGTCAGTCTGTCAATTACAACGTAGGTAAGTATATCAGCAGTGCGCATCTACGACTCCTGCACCCAGCAAGATGCGAACCCAGAACCTTCAATACTGTGCGCGAACGCCTAACCTCTGAACCACTAAGCCGGTATATGATGGTGTGAATGTCTAACTTGATCAATTCACGGAGTTGCGCAACCTCATACACAGTGCTTCCAGGTTTCTAATGGTGGTCTAACACTGATCGACTCATGGTTTCAAAATATGTAACTTAACAATTTTCATAACCCCGTAACGTAAATACATCAGTTCAGCTTGCCGTACCACATTAGCACAGAGACGCAATTGTCAGTTCAAATCCCATAGTGGTATATGTAGTAGAAGTACTAGAAGTAGTGGAAAAGATACCTCGAAGCACTGGACAACCGTTTCATCCTGGTAAGAGACTCTTCAGCAATGCACATCCACAACTCCCAACAGTATTAGTTTCTAACTTGAACTAATCTACAATATTGCATAACTTTCATTTATTGCCTGAGGCAGATAACTACCGCCTCCCCAATATGGATTAAACTCCACTGGTCCTGGACTTCTTACTAGAACTGTAGGAATCCATCATGAAGCTAGTCACTTATGTGTACATGATTGTTCTTAATGAAGAAGATGTTTGGACACTGTATTATTCCCGTAGTTTAAATCACTAACTGATCAGTGATCTAGAAGTTAGGTGTTTGCTCACGAAACCGAAGGTCATAGATTCGATTCTCATATGCGTAGGGCCATCACAATGCCGAGGAGTAGTGCCATACTACGACAAAATGGCTATCCACCGCCTCCAGATCAGTTCGTGATTTGAACTATGTAAAGTCACTTTTCTATTCAATCGGTAAGATGTTTGCATCGTTTACCAGTACATATTAGTGTACATTTAGCTGATGAGCCCTGAATAGGGCAAAAAGAATGATTCTTAATTCTACTAATATTCATCATTCAAGCATTCAGAGAATAAAAATATATAACGAAATGTGTTTCCTGACATGAACCAGCGAAAGACTGAACAAAACTGAATCCTTAATATATCAGCAGTGAATTATTTTTATCTTTACTCATAGTTACATCTGTAGTGAAGGAGAACACAGGTGAGGGCAACCGAATTGTATTTATCGCAAATTACAGAGTTAATCAGTAAAATAGAGAAACCATATCGTAAACGGTTAATTTGCAAATATTCAATCCATCATCAATCCATAATCTGACATTTCACTATTCATGCGTTTCATACAAATTCCATTGTGTTCTCACTCTTCCTTTCTTGATCTTCCCCCATCTTCTGCTGCCAGCCATTACGTTTACACTCGCGTCATATACTACTTATAAGTAGCGCGCACCACACATCAAATGTTCATTATTCAATATACAATTACATCTATTTGTCTATGTTATAATTAATAACCACATGATTTAACTGGTTAGTGTTTTTTTTTGGTAGCCAGTTGATTTTCTACAAGATGAAGCCACTAAATCCCATGCTCCATTACATATAAGCATGTACAAATTGAAATTCATAGTATACCACCTAATTCTTTTCATAGCGTCACTAAATATGATGAAATAAGGGTGAGATGGATTTTATTGAGAATTTGTGTGAAGAATTAGTATTTCTGTTTTCTAATTCAAATAGAATTCTAGATTATTAGTTAGAATTACGCAAATGATTGATCATTGAGCAGTGGTCAGTGTCAAGGTCGTTCAATACTTTTGTAGTGATGATTGAATTCTATCGATCAATTTTTAATGTTGTAACTAGTCTGAGTGATTCAGTGTCATATATATAATGTTGAAATAGCTAGTAAAAAATTCTGTACTTCTCATATTAACTATTTCCGGTCAACAAGACGGAGGTGAGATATGTAAAGAATCGATGTTCTCATTCGACCTTGGAACTGCATCAATCTGCTTCACCGACTGAGACTTGACCACTTAGCTATTTAGGCACGTAATAGATCGCTACATGAGAATTCCAATATCCCTTTAATAATTGTAATGGTATAGTATTAAAGTTGTTAAAATTAACACAGTCATTTGTGTAGAACTGCTTCTCGGTTTTTGAGACATCTTCACTAACTCCCCACCATACTTATCGATGACGATTTTTTGTGAGACGATTTTGGGAGATGAACTTTTCGTGTGGTGATTCTTTTTTCAATGGAGAAAAGTGAATTCATCAACTACCTTATTCTGACTTAGGAAATTTCACAAAGAAAATTTTTCAAATTTCTCAAAGACTGAGTTAAAATTTTTAAAAAAAGCTACATGACAGTAACTTAATATTTTGATAGAACAGCGAGAAGATGTCCTATCACAATTTACATGATAGTTTTAAAAACTTAAAAGACAATGTCGGGGACGTTAGATCTCCAGAACTCACTTGATAAAGGTCCTGATTTTGGATTTTATGTTTTCGCGCATGGGCTGATCAATTAACCTTGAGATTACATTTCCCAGCCGAAAAATCCTTCACTGTTGTTGGTTGATGTGTTATTTTAGTACGCCGTTTTGTGGCCCTCCCAAGGACGTTTCTGTCATGCATAAATAATCTCGATTTGTGTGCTTATCAACCTCGATTTTTTGGGTGCTTGTAGAATACACTTTCTACTCCATATTAAGACTTCTTGATATAGAATAGCCTATCGTGTCACTGGATAATTTGTCTTCGCTCTTGTTTACTGACTAAGTTGAACTCGTAATAACATTCAAGCATATCAATTGACGAGCATGACAGACAAGTTGTTAAAAATCATATCTATCATAATGGATCAAATATTAGCTCATGATGATTATGAATATTATTAGATAAACATTCACAATTTAACTAACCTTGTGCGGTAGATTTGAAATGAAGGAGTTTTTCAAACATATTTATAACTATTATATATTTTCCATTTTATGAATGAGAACACTATGACATTGTATTAAATTATTTGGCAAAACAAAATCTACAAGTCAAGTCAAAAATACTATTTTTTTTAAAATTTATTTATCTATGTATTTATATTCATATTTGTTTATATATATATTTTTCTATCCAATACCAGTCTGTATTTCCTACTCAATAATTATGAAAAGGATGATTATTTGAAAATTATATCATACATTAAGAGTAAGTTTCAATTACTGATTGTTGAAATCAATATTTTTCAATTAGAGTTATGAAGACTAGTGTTTATTGCACATTTGAAATCATCAGTCAATCATTGTGAGAGCACCAACAGAAACCTGGAGGCAGTGGACGGTTGTTTCGTCCTGGTATGGGACACGTCAGCAGTGTGCATCCACGACTCCTGAGCCGGCATTGAGTGGTATTAATTTCTAACTTTGATCAATCTACAAATGGGTGAGTTTGCGCAAGATCTGTAGAGTGATCAGAGTTAGACATTAACACCCTTGGATGCCGCCTCACTGTCAGTCCTCCATCACTTTGTATAGTGAAATTCCCATTGGACAAATGTTTAGCATGAATGAATCATTGTTAGACCACCATTCGAAACCAGGATGTACTGGTCGGTCGTTTCGTCCTGGTGTATGGGACTCACCAGCAGTGTGCGCCCTCCACTCCTGCTACCCACACTATTCGAACCCAAGACCTTGGGTCTTGCTCGCGAACGCTTAACCTCTAAACCACTGAGCCGACATCCAACGGTGTTAATGTATAACTCTGATCAATCTATGGATTCTGAGCAACCTCACTCACTGTCTTTTGGAGCTACTACCTGGGTTGATATCCACTGGTCTCGTCTTCTTACTAGAACTCCGTAAACCTCACGAAGCTAGTCACTAGTGAGCATATTGTTTGTTTGAATTCAAGGTAAAACTACAATCTCTATAATACTATATTGCAAAATCAAATATTAGCAACTTTAATCAGCAGTTTAAAATGAACTATTCACAGTTTAAAAATGACGAGGTTAACAAAAATCAAAATTATTAATTCATCATTGTATTTCATGTATTTATCACTTCAGTTACAAATCTGTATTATTAATCTGTAAAATATACGTTTTATTTTACTAGATAAACAAATTACCGATGAAGAGAATTCGTCAAACATTAACAATAATAAACTAACTGTAAGTGAATATTATTAATTTAGGTTCATGGTAAAAAAACAAACATAAGTTGATATTGTAACAAGAGAAAATACTGATGAGTCCATATACCCGGACGAAGCGGCCGTTCAGTGTGCTTCTAGGTTTCTAATGCTGGTCTAACAATGATTCATTCATGATATCAGTGTAAAACTACAATCTATATATATATTACGCATGCACATAAACACTTCAAATTGATATGCTTGAACTATTAAGAATTTATCTTAGTCGGTGAACGAGAGCGAGGATCGATGATCCAGTGATACGACATGCTACTCTAATCCAATTGTCCCGAACCCCCATTGAATGAAACAACAAGATTTGATATGAAGTAGAACCTGTATTCTACAAGCATCCAGAAAGTATGAGGTCCGAGTCCAGAAGAGGATGAGGATCCCGGACTAAGGATCCGGGTCTGGGTCATTAGACGTTACAGATAATGCGTATTTATACAGTTAGGACAACCAACAAGAAACAACATTTGAACAATAGGACATTGATAGTTGGGACGACCAATAGGAATTGACCAATAGGATTAGACTTACAAACAATTATCTTAGGATATTGGATGAATATCCTAACACTTTATAATATGCTGTCACAAATCAATCTCTCGGACAAATTAGTTCCAACCAAAAGCTTTTGAGGGATATAAATTGGTTTACGTTAAAAATCAAAGTATCCAGATTCGATGGACTATTTTTAAACTCATTCGTTATATAATGTCATTGATTATAGACAGAAAGATACAGCGCAGAACTTCCTATATAAGTACATCAGTTCAGGTTGCCATACCACGTCAACACAGAGACGTAACTGTCACTTCAAATCCAAGAGTGATAGCGATAGTAGAATTATTAGCAGCAATGGAGAAGATTAGGGAGCAAAGATATGACTCCAAAAGTATAATTCAGTGAGATAAGTTTAGAAGGAGAAAGATAGAGATTATGAGGAATTCAAGAAGGTTAGAATTAAAAAGTACACAAAGAGTGGATGCACCTGCACCATTGCAAACGATTTAGAGCCATGTCGTTCAAGGTCTCTAACCATCGGTGACTATCGTCTCGCGGACACCAACCAGGTAGCCTACACCTACCAACATGACTCAGTTCACTTGTCAGTGACTTCATGGATTTGTGTCATGTTTTGGTCTGGCCACCCCTAACTTTCTTCCAACCTACTCCTAAACTGCAAACCATAGCTCGTCGTGGCAGTCGGTGGTTAGGCATACATAACACATGTCCCAACCACCTCAACTGATGAAGTTTCAATACTTCATCTATTGATTTGTCATTCCTACCTAGAACTCGTCATTGATAATAAATGAATTTTCAGTGTTTTCTAGAATTATACAACTCATTACTGTTACAATTTAGGAATCATTCAATTTTCACTGTTTTGAACATACATCATTCATATATGGTTTGTATCACTTGCAATGAAAACATGAATTGACTAACTCTTTGGTGGTCTCAATGAATATGAAGCATTAAACAATTTGATGTATCAAGCATAAAAATTTGTCATGATAGAACTATTGTTGTATATCATTGAAATCATGAATGAATCATCGTTAGATCAGCATTAGAAATCTGGAATCACCACAAGGTGAGGTTGCGGAAAACCTCAGATTGAACAAAGTTAAACAGTGACACTGGTGGGTGATGCTGGTACAGTGTTCTAGAGGTTAAGCGTTCGTAAGCGAGACCGAAGGTCTCGAGTTTGGTCCTTGAGAGCAGGAGTCATAGATACTCACTGCTGATGAGTCCCAAACTAGGACGAAACGGCCGTCCAGTACTTTCAGGTTTTTAATACTGGTCTAACAACGATTGATTCATGATATCAGTGGTAAAATTTATCCCTGAATTTATTTTAAAACATATTTTAATACAGTTCAGCAGTAATTAGCAGACTTTAAAGTTTCGAAACACTAGAGAATAAGTTTTAAAGTATCCAAACCTTTTACTCTCTGGTGGTTTAAATAGTGCCTAAATATGTTTTCGCCAAATTGTTTATGAGTTACACGTATAAAAAATCAATCTCTTGGATTATCGATCACAAAATCAAGCTTCTATTGCACAAGTGGAACACTTCACTTACGTAATATTCATCATAGATTTAAAACTCTTAAGCTCTACATCAGGAATAAGCCTTAAATCTGTCATATAAACACAGCGACCAATGAAAAAGACTTGCGATATTGATGTGAGACTCAGAAACTAGTAGATATTATAATGACATAATTTTTCCCTCTAAATATGTTCTCGCAGGTATGTAGAACCAGAAAAATATCCAAACCGGTTAAATTGGATCCAATAGAAAAATTAGTTGTTAGCGATTATCAAGATGGCGATTTTACAACCACTGGAATTCAAGGACATAATAAATTTGATTATAGCTTGTTTAAAAATAACAACCATGTGAGTCTACGTACACGAATAATTTTATGAGTAAATTACTTACTAACTTTCGCCTGTTATCCCCAATGGAGCATATGGCCGCTGACCAGTATTCTCCAACCTACTCTATCTCGGGATTCCCTTTCCAGTTCTTTCCAGTTTTTGTTAATTCTCCTCATATCTTTCTCTATTTTTCAGCGTAATGTGTTTCTCAGCCTTTCTCTTTTCTTTTGACCTTGAGGTTTCCATGTGAGGGCTTGTCTCGTGACGTAGTTGGGTACTTTTCGCAGTGCATGTCCTGTCCACTTCCACCGCTTCTTCCGAATTTCCTCCTCTGCAATCTGGTTTGTTCTCTCCCATTATACGTTGTTGCTGATGGTGTCTGGTTAACGAATCCGAAGTATTTTGCGTAGACAACTGTTAATAAACACTTATATCTTCTGGATGATAGCTTTCTTGGTTCTCCAAGTTTCCTCTCCATACAGTAGAACTGTCTTCACATTTGTATTGAAAATCCTGATTTTCATTCTGGTTGAAAGTTGTTTGGAGTTCCAGATATTTTTCAACTGTAGAAATGCAGCCCTTGCTTTGCCAATCCGTGCCCTCACATCTGCATCGGATCCACCTTTCTCGTCGATGATGCTGCCCAGATATGTAAAGGTGTTAACGTTTGGTGCATGTTGTGTTGCATCGGAGAATTTTGCTTTTTCCTTTATGTATGTTGAGACCTACTGCTGCAGAGGCTGCTGTTACAACGGTCGTCTACTATTGCATTTGTTGTTGTGTGTAAATTAATTACTACTTATACGAAAATTGAGTAGTTAATCTGAAATCAGAAATTAAATTTCCTCACGTAAATGACTTTAAAATGATTGGTCAATATCATGACTATGAGTGATAAATAGACTATTGATCCCATTTTTCATTTTTTGTAGGAGAGATTTCAGTGTCTCAGGAATAGACAATGAACTAAATGAATACATCATGATACAGAATACCTCAAAAACAAGTATTAACCATGTGATATTTTCACACCACATAACTTGGATATGCAGTTATTGAAAATAACTGTTATGCTGATCTCAAAAGGATTTATGATTGTTTTTCGGTTAATAATGCAACCGATAATGTCAGTAGTACTATAGTTTACTATTCAATAAGTTCGTAAAAAATATTTTCAAGAAAAAAACAAACAAAGGGTGTAACAAAATGGGACAACTGTAGAACTCTTCGCACTTCTAAATATGTAAAAACTGTTGATTACATTTAAAAGTGATGTGATAATTTCCTGTTCCATTTGGAAAAGCCAGTTATTAAAAATGCTAATAAATTATTTTTAATTTTTATATGAATAGGAAAAGAATACTGTTAAAAGAAAGTGTAAAAAAGCTGTTTCAGGTTAGTAATTATTCAATGATGAATATTTATAAACATATATATCCTCTGATGTACACATAAAATGTACTCACGACTAACATATAATAGTAAAGATTAGTAATTTTGATTTTATCGCGTGTATGAAATGATTATCATACTATTCGCTACTTGTAATCATATGGAATTTAATTTCAGTAATAGGATAAGACTTTCACAACATAAAGTATTAAAACATTTGATTTGTTATTAAAATTTTAAAAGATTTGACTTCATTTTTATTAAACAAATCATTAGTATTTGTGTCAAATATATATGTGTGATTTAGGAAAAAAAATTAAAAGTCATAACTTTTAAATGTTTCACTTCATAGACTTGTTATGCTCGTCTCTAGGTATGCTTAAACTATTACGAGTTCACCTTAGTCGAATAACGAGAACAAAACAATGAACCAGAGTCCAGGTAGGCTACTGTGATGCCTTGACCCAATTATACCAACAAGAAGTCTTGATATAGCGTAGAAAGTGTATTCTACAAACACCCAGCCAGCATACAATCAATCCAAGCACTCAAATTGCGTTTATTTTTACTCCATAGAGACGTCCTTGGGAGAGTCGCTAAAATAGTACACTAAAATAACATAGTAACCAATCACAACCAAGGATTTTCCTAGTGGGAAATGTGATCTCTATGTCAACTGATCGGTGCATGAAATAAATCCAAAATAAAGATATTTACCAATCGAATTCCGGGAATCTAATATCCCCAACAAAACTCTAAAAAATAAAACAACATTCACTGAAAATAAACGGCAACTGTCTTGCATTTTTAGTTGAAATGATTTCAAGGTAGCACAGTGTTTGTGAAATTTGGTGGTTTTGCGTTTCGATTAGTTTTCATAAGACAGCAACGTAAAATGCTGAATAGTTTTTAACATTAACATGAGGAAACAAGAAACTACAAATATTCGGAAAATAATTTATTTTGCATGATAGGGTTGTGAAGTATGTCGGGTTTCTTTTTGAAACGATGAACAGATCAATGTTAGATCACTATTAGAAAGCTGGAAGCACTGGACAACTGGTTCGTCCTGGTATGGGACTCATCAGCGGTGCGCATTTACGTATCCATCCCATCACTCGCAGGAATCCAACCTAGGACCTCCAGTCTTGCGCGCGAATTCCTAAACTCTAAATCACTGTGCCGGCATCTAAAGGTATCAATGTCTGACTTCCATCAATCTACGGTCTTTCTCAACCTCATCCACTGTCTTTGGTGATCACTGCTTCACACGAGCACAGGGTTAAACTTCACTAGGCCCGACTTCTCACTAGAACTCGGTTGCATATGACCGTAGATTGATGCAAGTTAGACATTAACATCGTTGGATGCCGGCCCGGTGGTCTAGAGGTTAGACAATTGCGCGCTAGGCCGTAGGTCCTGGGGTCGATTCCTGGGAGTAGCGGGCTTGGTAGATGAGCACAGCTGATAAGTCATATACTAGGACGAAACAGCCGTCCAGTGCTTCCACATTTCTAATGGTGGTCTAACACTAATCGATTTATGATTTCAAAAGAAATTATTTTTTTATTCATTTATTTTGAAAAAATAAACTCGTCGAACAATTTTTATAAAATCTTAATTCAAAATTTCATGATATGATCTTTTTTTAATTTAGAAAATGAGCCAGCTTGTTGTTCGAATACAACCAAAAAATGTTGTTTATATGGAATACGTAAACCAGCTGATCCTTGGTTTTCTTTAGATTCTTTGTTAATAGAAAGTAGCAGGATAAAACAGAAAACAAATCCACTGTAAGTTAATTATACATCATTTTGAATTTCATTCTTGTTTTAAATGTTTCATGTCGGTTGACCTTCATTGGTGTTTTCGATTACACTATATGTCCTTTTATTCGATTTGTTAGGATATTCATTCAATAACCTTAGAGAATTATTTGTAAGTCTAATTCTATTGGTCAATTCCTATTGGTTAATTCCTATTGGTCAGTATTATGGTCGTCCTAACTATCACTGTCACGGACTAACTGTATAAATACGCATCATCTGTAACGTTTTATGACCCGGATCCGAAGTCCGTGATCCTTATCTCCTTCTGGACTCGGACCTCGTACTTTCTGGATGTTTGTAGAATACATGTTCTACCTCATATCAAGTATTCTTCTTTTACTCAATGGGAGATTTGGGACACTCAGTGACACTCGTGTCACTGGATCGTCGATCCCCACTCTCGTCTACTTACTGACTAAGGCAAACTCGTAATAGTTCAAGCGTATAAATTAACGTGTTGACATACAATCGTAACACAAGCATAAAAGATTTTATGCAAATTTATGTACAGTTCTTAAAAGTACATAACCTATTAGATAGTTATTCATTTTAAAAATAATTTGAACATGAAAGAAACCGAACTATCAAATATTTATGTGGCGTATTAATTTTCTCTTAGCTGAATAGTTTATTTACTACTATCAAGTGATTGTCATCAGTCTAAACCACAAAGTTAGTCAAGTCTCTGAAACTGAATAGGTATAAGAAGTTTTACTTCTTCTTTTACAAGTTTCAAGTGTTGTTTTAATTTTTATTCATTCTGTCAAGGACTAGTTGTTGTTAGAAGCCTGTAAAACTACACATCGATGTCATTCTTTAACTTATCTTGGTAATTCACTTTTTCGGCCTCCAGTAATGTTGATCTTTGGACTGTGTTACGGTCCTAGGAAATATCTGGTATTCACAGAAAACATCCCTGACTTTCAATGTAAAGAACATGTTCGAATATATGTTTAAAAATTTCACCCTAATAATGTAGCTATAGTTTTGATCAAAGTGGAAACATTTAAAAATTTACGTATACATTGCAGTTTTTTCATTGTTTATGTTACAGATTACGTTTGTATAGATCTAAAAGTTGTGATTTTACCAATGTTAATCAATTCAACAAAGTAAGTGATTTATTTGTTTATCATTTTACTCATTTAAGGAAAGATTTATTTTTCTAGTTTTGAATTAGTGGTTCAAATACCATCCAATCAGCAGGATATGCCTATATTAACAATTTCAAAGGTTTGGAATTGATTGTAGGATTTAATTTGTCCTACAGATGTAATTCTAGAACAGTAAACGCAATACTGGCGAGCACAGAGTCTATGGTAAAGCTATAGTAAGAATAATGTCAACTTTGCTTTAAACTTTATCTGTTTCTAAACATAAAAACAATTAAATTAGTACAATAAATAAGGAAATTGCAATTATCAAGTAAGACGAGCAAACGTATCGACCAATATAGCTTGTCTTAAGGAAATGAGTACAGTTATGAGTCACATCAATATAATAAGATAATAATGTCAATCAATTTGTAGGTCATTTACAACAAAGAAGGTTTACAGACACGTCAGGTCAGATCACGTGGTGGACGCTTAAACCACAATCTGATTGGTTAGTTATGACATAACTACAATTATTGATGGAAATAACTAACATTCATATGATGCACTCAGGAAATGGATGTTCATGAGTGCTTTGACTCGCCTTCGCTTATCGATTCCCTGCCCATCGATTTGCTTCTTTTCAAAGCAGAATGTTCAGATTAAAGATTGAAGGAGAATCACTCGGTGCTAGAGAAAAAATATCATAGCTCATGCCCCACTTCATCAAAAGATATATTATCACTGTATTGATTTATACATTTTAAAACTAATCACAACTCCCTGCCATCAACTGCTCATTTCATCGATCGTTAGCTATTGAGGGTTTCAAGTAACTCAGAGGTGTTGTAGTTAACGCAGTCCTATTTAATATCATCCCATGGCTGTTTACTGAAGACTTAAAATCCACTTAGCCCTTTGTATACCCTACCGTCTTATGTTCATGATGAAAATATGGGTCAAAAAGACTATTACTCATTTAAAAATTAAGATACCCAAACTTATTGATAATAAATTTCCCATATTTTACCGACATTAACATAAACAGGAACCTATCAACTTTCGATTTCAAGGTGTTACTCAACCAAGTAGAATATCAGTAGTAGGTATCACTAATAAGAAAGTTTAACAGATTTGTCTCAATATGAAACTTGTCAAGAAAGTACATCCTATCGCCTACTGAACATAGAATCTCCAATCTCATCTGTAAAAACCAACACACCACTGAGTCTTTAGTGGTACTGACAGACATGATAATGAAAAACGTACATCCAGAGAGAAGCGAATTGCAGAAGGTGAGCGAGACAAGTCAATGAATTAAGGCATTGTAGTGCCTCCACATATATTCCAGTTCGCTTACATCTAACTTGGTTAAGCCCCTTCGGTTAATTTATTTAACCAAGCCATTTGTATGGCAACAATTTATATGTACCATTCGTTCTTATTATTATTGTCTGGTTTGTATGAGCTCACATGACATGTCCCACTTGTCATTTGATCTTGTCAATCATTCATCGCTTTTATTCATGTGTGTGCATGCCTATCTCGTTGATCACATGTCTGTCTTATTTTTGTCTGACTATATATTCTTAGTCATGCTCTATCTCTTGGAGTTGGCTCAACAGCCTTCTCCAATTCAAGTCGCTTTATTCGTTTTATTCACTGCTTCTCCGCTTCGCTTTGTGGTGTGTCCCAAATAAACTTTTTCATCACTACGAATTCGCCTTCTGATATATAACCTCAGATGCTACTTTGTAACAATTGTCTAGACGAGCTAACCACGAAGCATAAGAACACTCAATAAATTAGCCACCACACAAATGGTGAGCCCGACAACGAAATGGGCCATCACAGCATGACTAAGCATTTATAGTCAGACAAAATAAGCCAGACGTGCCGCCATAAGCGAACTAAGAGGCACATACACTCTAACGTAACAGATAACTTGATTTTTAGAATAATTACCAAATCAACATTGAAAAAACATTCACCGATATGATCCTTTCATCTCGAATTATAATGTCCAAGTACAATCTCTCTTTTACCACTACTGATATCAGTAATAGTTTTATCACTTTGGCGTTTGTCTAAATAATTCCATTTAACTGTAGTGATATGATGTGTTGTAAGTAACCTGAACTCATACACACATATTTGTCAAGTACTATGTTGCTTATGACTAGTTGTCTAAATGAGTTTCGAAAATATGGATGGAATATTTTCACAAAGGAAAAACATGCATGTTTTTAGTCCTTTTTCCTACATTATTCATTGACAATTACTAACTTACTTACATCTGTTGCCCCCTATTTTTCTGGTTAGCGTATTTTAGCGAGTTAGATGCATAACCCTTCTCCTTTATCTGGGCTCAGGACCGGTAGTAACCCTAGAAGGACTCCTGGCGGAGTTATCATTGACAGTATTTTACTTAATTACTAACTTACTTTAGCCTGTTATCCCCAATGGAACGTAGGCCGCCCACCAGTATTCTCCAACCAACTCTGTCCTGGGATTCCCTTTACAGTTCTTTCCAGTTTTTGTTCATTCTCCTCATGTCTTTCTTTATTTCTCGTCGTGATGAGTTTCTTGGCCTTCCTCTTTTCTTTTGACCTTGAGGTTTCCATGTGAGGGCCTGTCTTGTGACGCAGTTAGGTGCTTTTCGTAGTATACGTCCTATCCACTTCCACCACTTCTTCCTGATTTCGTCCTGCACTGGAATCTGGTTAGTTCTCCCTCACAATAAGTTGTTGCTGATGGTGCCTGGCTAGCGAATCTGAAGTATTTTGCGTAAACAACTGTTAATAAACACTTGTATCTTCTGGATGACGCCTTTCGTAGTTCTCCAAGTTTCCTCTCCATACAGTAGTAGAACTGTTTTAACATTTGTATTGAAAATCCTGATTTCGGCGTTGATTGAATGCATAAATCGGTAGGTACATGAAGGATTTTGTTTTGTCAACAATAAATGTAACGCATACAGCAGTAGTTCAATGATCAATTTTACATTTGAATATTTGATAAACAGCATAAAATTTATTATTAATCATAAGTCTTATCAAAATAACACAACACATTAAATCACCATTAACTTAAAAGTAGTAATTTTTAGTTTAAGATCGATTTGGTTTTTTTTAAAAATTTATTTTAGTTTTCATTAAGATATAATAAATCTAGACTGTATGAGAGTTCACCGAATTTAATTAACCAAATAACTGGTGATTTAGTAATCATTCAAACTTTTTCAAGTCTATTCAATGAAGTAAGTTCATCATAATTTGATTGTTTCAATGAAATATTTTATTGTCGTAAAACATGTTTCTTGTTATTAGTTCAATATTTTTGAAGCATCCATAATGATATCAACTGAAATAATGAGGTCCAATGTATACTTCCAAGGAATCAAATGCTCGAACGACACTCTACACAGAGACTAGATCTCGTTAAGCCAGATACACGATTTACGAGCAAAATAGAGAACCATGCTGAAATTATTTCTATAGCACAGCTTTAGCTGAACTAACAACTTGTCTTTACTTTCAACCAATCTATTATAAAGTAAGTTTTAATTATTAGGTTGGTAGCGGACCTCGCCAAAAATCTCTGTTCATAGTTTTACTGAACTATTCAACTTTTTATTTCATTGTGATTTTATGGCGATTGTTGTTTATTATTGAAATCATGATAGAAGACCGAAGGTCCTAGGTTCGAATCCTGCAGGGAGTTGGTGTTCGTGACTGCACACTGCTGATGAGTCCTGCATATCAGGACGAAACGGCTGCACAGTTCTTTACAGGTTTCTACTCTGGTTGTCTAACAATGATTCATTCAGGATTTCAGTAGTAACTGCAAATATTAACACAAAACTTAAAAGAATTATTACTAGTACGAAATTAATTTCATGTGTGCCTAATGCTACATACAAACATGTTAGTTTACATTTTAAAAATATCTATCAGCTTTTATATACAATAAATAAAACAATTTATACCCAGGTAATAATTCTATGTAATTTTTAAAAACAATATTCAACTTCTGAGTGAGTTATCTAACTGAATAGAAGGAACTGAAAGACTATTTACTACATCGTTCTGCATTAAGTAAACAATCACAGCTGAATACTAACGAATTCAATATACTGTAGTTTGAAGGCTTTTATGAATTTGTTTTGGAATTTGAAAAATGGATCCTGAATATCTACAAACATTAGGACAGTACAACACCAACCTCAATGAGAAATGTTTTTTTCAAGATGAGAAGTTGGTAAATTCAAAGTTAACATATCTCATTCACTTATTCCAAAGAATAATAATCAAAAAACATACAATTTTAAACTAATAGTACATTAAACCTACGAAAGAAAACAAAATTAAAAGAGTTACTAATCTCCGAAGCGTTGCGCGTATATTCTGGGACAGATGAGTAAGCAATGCTTTAGTTAGGAAACGAGTGTTAGGTAAAGAGGGCAAATCAATGGATGAAGTGGTGAAACTTCATCAGTTGAGGTGGTTCGGACATGTGCTGTGTATGCCTAACCACCGACTGCCTCGACAAGTTTTGTTTTGTAGTGTAGGAATAGGTTGGAAGAAAGTTAGGGGCGGCCAAACCAAAACATGGCACAAATCCATGAAGTCATTGACAAGTGGACTGAGTCATGTCGGTAGGTGTAGGCTACCTGGTTGGGGTCCGCGAGATGATAATAATCGATGGTTAGAGACCCTGAATGACATGACTCAAAACCGTTTGCAATGGCGCAGGTGTATTTAATCTTTGTGTTCTCTCAAATCCTAATCTTCTAGATTCTTCAACACCTGTAGTTTTGACTTTCTAAACTTTTCTCACTGAATCATACTTCTTGAATAATATCTTCTAATCTTAACCTCTCCGATTACTTCTAATACCTTTACTACCTCTTCTACTATTGGATTTGAATTGAAAATTTATATCTCTGTGCTAATGTGGTATGGCAACATGAACTGATGTACTTACGTACGAAGATCTACGTTGCATCTGACTGACTGACTAACTGACTAATCTCCTAGTAAAGAAAGTCAAACATACATGTGTAAATTTCCTTAATTCTTATTAAACTTTGTCGTACAAAGTTTTCAATATTTAAAACACAACATCATTAACGCGAAATTGTGGTTCAAGATTCATTGTTGAAAAAATCTTCAACTTACACTAATATCCAAACTGTAGAACACTCGTGATAGTGTCACATAGACAACTAATCACAGTAGAGTTTGAATGACAGAATTCTATTAGTGCCGAAGAACAGTAATCACCACTATTCAGTGGACGTATTATGGTCAATTAACCTGTTGATATTGTGTGAATGAAAACGTGACATAGAGTAAAAATAAATGAACTATTTAGCCTTATCCTTGATCGCATTTAGTACAGAAGTGGGAAAGGTATCTGAATCACTGCGAGCCTGTAAATTTTTTCATTCAGTGACAGTATCAAACGGACTATTTCGAAAATAACTCGAGAGGGTTGAGAAAATTTGTAGCTCAGGTAGATGATTGTGGCAGAGTTTCGTTCTTCGAAGTTGGATGTTTTGGTTATGTGTATCTGATACTTGTTTGCAGAACATGCTTGTCGAAGATATTCATAGAGAATGTAGAGTTGATCTCAAATAGAAGTTTGCCTTTTGGCGGCCAACAAGAAGCGTATCACGGTCAAATGATTTTGCGATGTTGGAGAAAATTTGTAGCTTAGGTGGATGATTGTGTTGGTGTTCCGTTGTCTGAGCTCAGAGAACATTACATGTTTATAGATAAACATACTGTTTTCTGTCATCTTGGTAGGGAGGGATATTGTGTAAATTATAAGACTTGGTTATCTATTATTATTATTATTAATATTATTATTACTATTACTATTATTATTATAGGCATTATTTGCACGAGGTTGTCTACTCACTAAAGCTAGTCCCTTCCAATCATTACGTGATTTAACTTTATGTATATGTGTTGGTAATAAAAAATATCAAACTATGGCTTTTATTAAACGTGGATTGATATTTTATCAATTAAAAAAGTATGTTACGCATAGAGTGAATGAATTCATGAAAAATATTGCTTTTTATTGATTATTAGACAATAAATGATTGAATATTGTTTGATAGGTTGGAATGTTTCAAACAAAAACGATACGATTCTGTTAATAGTTGAATCTTCTGGGTTTCTGTGAGGTGCAGGAGTCGTTAATGCACATTGCTGATGAGTCCCAAACCAGGACGAAACGGGTGTCCAGTGCTTTATTTTAAAGGAATTAAAGGTTACTGTTTTGAATCCCGCTAAAATTCAGGTTCTTGTTTAACTTCACACATCATTGATGAATGATAAAATCCTCAGTTACATGCCTAGTAATCGAGTACTTCAAATAATCATGAACTGATCAGTGTTAGAACATCAGTAAAAACTTCAGAACACTGGGCGACTCTTCCGTCCTGCTATGAGAAACACCAGCAGTGCGCATCCACAACTCTGCGGGTGTGGATCAAACCTAGGACTTTTGATCACGCGGATAAACGCTTAACCTCTAGACAATGGAGGCGGCATCCAACAGTATTAGTATCTAACTCAAATTAATACACGGTATTTTTCGACCACCATCCATTGTTTCCGGTAGATAACTGCCTCATATCTGTCAAGAGGTTAGGCGTTGGCGCGAGAGACCGAAAATCCTGTGTTCGATTCTTCACTCGCAAGTTAGTGGATAAGCACTGTTGATGAGTCCCACACCAGGGCGAAACAGTTCGGTGCTCTAAAGATTTCAATGATATTCTTACAGTCATAGTTTATAATTTCAATGAAAGTCAACAATCTCCACAATTCCATACTGAGGACTGCACATGATGTTTTTTTACTTAAAAAAACATAAACAGTCTAATAAGTAGCCAAAATCGTTTAGAGACTCAGTAGCCACGTTCATTGTCTTGAAACAACAAGTCTCGCTGAAAAAATCAACATGCATCTACTTATATCCAAATGAAAATTCTCTAAAAGGCGAAACTCTCCTTGAATTACATTCAAATGACAATATATTTTGAAGAAATGTGGACGAACTAACATGTTTGTGAATTAATTACCAGTGTTAGGTATTATGAAACAGCATTTCCATGGTATTCCTTGTTTCTCACTGTTGGGGTTTTAATTGATGATAACTTGAAATAGTCAAACTCCACCATAAAATTACTTATACCTACAATCGGACTAGTTAATCAAGTAGTGAAACAAAGGTTAAAAACTAAAACAGAAGTATCTCAAAGGTTTAAGGAAATCCATCGAAAAATCACTTATAATCTAAAAAAAATTAACATAAATATTTCGTGTCATTCCATAAATATACTAACGGTCTTGTGGTGTATAAGTATGTTGACCATGCAGGGCTTGTCCCAGCCCTTAGACAAAAACTAATCAATTCTTCTGGAGTTATTCACACATCTTTCGACCTTGCCAATTATTCGCTCATAACCTTGGCTGTTTTTATTCGAATGGATGTGTGCATTGTTTACTTCGCTTGTCACATGTCTAGTTTATTTTTGTCTGACTTCAAACACTTAGTCATACCTCATCACAATGAGTTAGCTCGTTCGCCTACTCCACTTCGCTTTGCTTTGCTTGTACGCTTTTTATCTTTATGTCTGTCTGTGTGAATGATTGTGCCAACAAAATTGATCCAACTTGATGGGTATTTGGCTTCTTATAACACAAACGAGGGTTCGCCTAAGAACGATATACGGAAATTACAGGGAAGATTTATTTCGTTGTCTACTCTATTATTTGTCCAAATCGAAGTCAGATCAAGGGTCACTAAAATTGATGAGCCCTTACTCAAATTTTACTCAGTGCACTAAAATTTGTTTGATAAAACTGGTAACCTGGTTCTAGTCTAACAATGACTGATTGTTTGAAGATTTGAATGTGTGAAAACACTAGTCTTCATAACCCTAATTGAAACAATAGTACTCACTAAAAACTGGCTTCCCTCTTGAGGGAATTCTCGAAGTTCTAGTGAGAAGACGTGACCAGTGGAGTTCAACCCTGTCGGGTGTAGGCAGTAACTATCGACGAAAAATGGGTGAAGTCGCGCCAAATCTCTAGATTGATCAGAGTTAGACACTAACAGCACTGAATGCCGGCCCAGTGGTCCAGAGGTTCAGCGTTCATGCGCAAGACCGAAAATCCTTGGTTCCTGTGAGTTGCAGGAGTCGTAAATGCCTACTGCTGATGAGTCCTAAACCAGGACGAAACGGCCGTCCAGTGCTTCCAAGTTTATAATGGTGATCTAACAATGATTGATTGATTAACGATTTCATTCTGTGTAAAAACACTAATCTCTATGACTCTCATAGGAAAAGTTTTAAAATTGTAATCAACGATCGATTTTTTTTCGTTTTTTGGTTTAGTCACAAAGTATTGATTTTTTTTATGTGATTTTATTTTTTTTCAGATATACAATGACCATACATGATTTTCAATCAGCTTTAAATATTGGCTTTGCTTCATCATTATATGATGATATTTATCGTCTACTGGGCATAACATTTGTTCAATTAAATCTACACATTAGGTTTGTTGTTCACATTATTGGTGTAGGCATAATCAATGAATTTCAAATAATCATATTTAATTTTTTTTCACAGAGCTATTCAAGTGTTCACTGAAGGGATAAATAAAGCAATAAAACCAGATGTAAAGATTTTATTATGTAGAGCAGAAGCTTATTGTCAATTGAATCAAGTAATTCGTTTTTTCGTTTGAGTTTTTGTATAATCCAACTTAAACTTCAATTCAATTTGTGTGCATTTCAAAAAAAGCAATAATTTAAACATAGTTTCAAGGTTTTCAATGTATCCATCGGAAGAGTCCGATGATCTACAAATTTTATCAAGGAATATAATTTTTGAGGTTGTTTGTAGGGTTCGTCACTGGGAGCACTTGAAGCTATTACGAGTTCACCTTAGTCGATAAACGCGAATGAGACAATTACCAGCGTCCAGATAAGCTACCTTGAATCCCAAGCTGAAGATAAAAGGCTTTGTAAGCGTAGAAAGCATATTCTACAAACACCCAGCAATCACAATACAATCAAGCGCACAACTCTCGTTTATTTATGCATCATAGAAACGTCATTGGGACAGTTACGAAAATAGCACACTAAAATACACAGCAGCCAATCACAGCCATAGATTTTCATGGTGAGAAATGAAATCTCAAGGTCAACTGATCAGCCCATGTTCGCAAACGTGAAATCCGAAATAAGGCATTTATCAAGCGAGTTTTGCGAATCTAACATCCCCAACACTTGTGGTGGTGTTTCGTTCTCTGAGCTCAGAGATTTTGGATTTCATGTTTCCGAGCATAGATTGATCAGTTGACTTTCAGATCACATTTCTTTCCCAATAGGAAAAGCCCTAGCTGTGATTGGTCACTGTGTTATTTTAGTGTGCTATTTTTGTGACTCTCTCAAGGACGTCTCTGTGGTGTGTAAATAAACGCGATTTGTGTGCTTGTTGGGTGCCTGTAGAATACACTTTCTACGTCATATCAAGACTTCCCGTTAGTTCCTTTGGGTCAATGGATTAGAGAAAGTAGCCTACCTGGACGCTGGTTCATTGTCTCGTTCTCGTTTATCGACTAAGATGAACCCATAAAGTTTCAAGCATACCCAGTGACGAGCATAAGAATAATATTGAATATTATGCCCAAACATACCACATTTATAAAAATGTAAATAAAAATCACTAAACCATTGTTCAGTCACATTGAAACGTTGTTTCTATTCAATAGTTTCGACTATTAATTTGAAGAGGTTCAGTTCAAACTGTCATAGAGGAAGAAACATCCATCTCTGTGACTTAGTCGGAATATCTGAATAATCCACACAGAATGTACATACATCAAGAGGGATTGAATAATTGTCGCCCTAAACATCAAATAACCAAACATGCATTGTTCGAATTTTTTGCGGATAGAATTTCCTTTCGAATACCTTGTTCACATTCGGCAACCAATTATTTTGCATATATTCCTTCAAGTTTAATTAAATAAAAATTTGGTAAAAGTATGCGGCACGGACGGCCTTGAAAGACTTATTGACCAATCAGGAAACAGTATTTATCTAGGCCTGTTTATCTACTGGAGCATAGCCTGTTAACTATGACTCTCTAACCAAGTTCTTCCTGAACTCTCTTCTCCATCTGTTCCTAAGTGTATATATTGTGGTAATATCGGTCTGAGATTCGCAACAGAATATGCTCTTTGGTCTTTCTTCTTTTCTTATGCGTTGAGACGCGATCTGGTGATTTCCGCAATCTGTCGTATGCACCTCCAGCGGCATTCCCTAATCTCCTCATTTGCTAGAAACTGTTTTGTTCATTGACCAAGACCCTTCCAGGTCACTGCAGTCCTTATCCTGGATATTGGAAGAAGGTTAGGTAAAGGGTTAGCAACCCCCATATCGAAGAAATAAACTCGCTAAATAAATGCAAATCACCATACATAAACTTTTTTGACTAAGAGAAAGCATTTAACAGCTTGGAGAGGATGATATTATACAGGCTTCTTCGATACGACGCTATACCTGAGAGGATATTCCACATCATACGAAATTCTTTTGATGTATGAAACTGCGAAATCATGCCAGGAGGACAGCTAATGGACTCATTCCAAGTGAAGACCAGTGTTAAACAAGGTTTTTTACTCTCGACCATTCTCTTTCTCCCGATGATCGACTGGATTATGAAGACGTCAACAGCTGGGGGAGGTATGGGATACAGTAGACATCTGGAATGCGGCTGGATGATCTTGATTAGCAGATGATCTATTCCTTTTCTCTCGTACGCATCAACAAATGCAGGGAAAGACGACCAGTATGGCAGCCGCCTCATAAACAGTAGGTCTCAACGTATACAAAGTAAAAAGCGAAATTCTTCGATTCAGCAAAACATGCTCTAATTAAATCACATTTCTTAGAGAAGTATTGGAAGATGTAGAAACCTTTACATGTGTGGGCAACATTATTAATAAAAGAGGTGGGTCTGTTGCATATGTAAAGGATAGGATCAGCAAAGCAAAGGCAGCATTTCTAAAATTGAAAAACGTCTTGAACTCAAAACAACTATCAAGCAACACTCAAGTCAGAATTTTCAATACAAATGTCAAGACAGTTTTACTGTATGGATCGAAAACTTTGAGAACTACGAAAGCTATTATCCGAGAGAAGCATGAGTTTATCAACGGTTGTCTACGTAAAATACTTCGAATGCGTTGACCTAGAAACCATCAGAAACAACCTATTTTGGAAAGAAGAAACCAGATCTCAGCTAAAGAATAAATTAGGATAAAAGGCTTAAGAATGATAAGGCACACATTCAGAAACGTACACAACGGTGTCACAACGCAAGCAATAATATGGAATCCTCATGGCCAAAGGAAAAGAGGAAGGCCAAGGAACAAATTTTGCTGGTAATTAGAGGAGGACATGAAAAGAATGAATGGAACTTGGGAACAAGCGGAAGAGACTCGAAGACACATTTAGTTGGCTAATCTTAATCGGCAACCTATGGCTCAACGAAGGAGTAACAGGCATAAGTTATTAAGTAATAACTAATTAAAGCCAACCTCTTGTGTTACATTCTAAGAAATAGATCTGTTATTAACAAGTAACATAAATGATTATTAATTAAACAGTGACCGAAATCATAATTGTCTAGTCCTTTTATTGCTCATCGAAATCTACTGTTGTAGTATTAACACACCACCAGTCTAAGGGAGTTGATATGATGAGCATCAAGCTCTTTAAAATTACTGGTATCGTATGTTGATTAATGCTAGCAGACATTATAAGGCATATTCAATAAAATTATAGTCAGTATGTTGAGATATTCGTCCAATATCCTAAGAGAATCATTTGTAAGTCTACTTCTATTGGTCAATTCCTATTGGTTAATTCCTACTGGTCAATAATATGGTCGCCCTAACTGTCAATGTCACATACTTCAATGTTATCTGCCATCGGTCGTCTGGATCCTGATTCTCTTATGGACTCAGACCTCGTACTTTCTGGATGCTAGTAGAACACAGGTCCAACTTCATATCAAGTTTTCTTCTTTTACTCTATGGGGGGTTTGGGAACAAATGGATTAGAATAGCCTGTCGTGTCGCCGGACCTTCGATCCTTGTTCTCATTTTCCGACTAAGGTAAACTCGGGGTAGTTCAAGCATATCAAATGACGTGTTTACGTGTATTCGTAACACAGTATTCCATAGAAAAGGGTAAGGCCGCAGTTTAACTTAGTTCCTGATATCCATGTGGTAAAGTCTCATTTTCAATTAATTTTCTATATTGAATCATAAAATGCTCTATTTCTTTTCTACTGACTGCTTTCCTAGTTTGATAAAGCAGTTCTCGACATACAACGTGTTATACATTTGAACCCTCATATTGCAAAGAATTATTTATCACTTGCAAATTATTTAAACAAACTTACCGCTGCTCAATTGGTTCAACGTTCTGTTCAACAGTATTTAAGTTTAGCGGAAAATGAAAATCAGAAACATCATAAACAAATGGTAAATATTCATATAGTTATTTGCTCACTTTTTTTTATAAGAAACTGATTAAAGTTTAAAGTGTAGACTATGTTAGGATATTCATCAAATATTATTAGTATTTTGTAAGTCTAATTCTATTGGTCGATTCCTATTGGTCAATATTTAGGGTCGTCTAAACTATCAAGTTCACATACTCTTAAATGTTCTTTCCTATTGGTTAGTATTCAAGGTCGACCTAACTGTATAAATATGCATTGTCTGTAAAGTTTTATGCTCCTCTTCTACTTCTGTACGAAACCTCATATTTCCTGGATGCTTGTAGAGTACACTTTCTTCGCCATAGCAAGACATTTTGATACCGTTAACAGGGCGTTGGGATGCTCGGATTAGGGTAGACTATCGTGTCAATGAATCAATTGTCTTAGCTCTGAACTCGTAATAGTTCAAACGTATCAATTGACGAGCATATCACATTACACATGTCAAAATAAACTCTTTCATTTGTATAATATTTGAATCAGTTTGGCTTAAATCCAACATAGAAGACTGTTGATGAAAAAAATCGAAAGTTACTATCTCTTGATGTGTCCTTCGTTTTCCAGTTTATGTAAGGTGTAGCATTACGAATCTAGTGACCACAAATCATTTCAGTAGAAGTTTTCGAAAGTGTTTAAATTTCAGTTTAAGAAAGTCTCATCATATCACAGTGATATAGCAAGTACGTAAAATCTTTAAGTTTAGAGATACTTCTACCACGCGTTACTGATACAAGAAAAGTGTTATTATTGTTGTTGTTATTGTGGTGGTGTTTCGTTCTCTGAGATGGATGTTTTGGTTGTGGAGCCTTACTTGGACTTCTTCTGAACAACATCATCAGCACAAAACTCAGATAGAAGAAGTCAAGTACTCGCTTTTTTCCACGTTTGACCTGTATCTTGTTTTATTAACTTCACTCTTGATTGCTTGTTGTTGACCTTAAACCTGTCGTTGTTTGCACATTTGTTTTGATTGTATCCCCCTTTGATCTATTTCTTGATCCTATATCACCTATGATTTTTCTGATTGGTTGATAAATTGGGTCAATATCGATGTGTTTGTTAATTACTGATCAACCTGAGTGCAAAGCTTCTAAAACATTTTTAGTGTTCTTTGTTCCTCCCCTATCCAGTATTTCCACAATGTTCTAATCGAATGTATGTCCATAATTGTCCGTGTTTATTGATATAAGCTCAGCGTTGTCGTGGTGTTTGACTGCTAATTTGGTGTTCACGTAAACGAAGCTGAGGAGGTCGTCCACTTTGTCCTATGTAGTGTTTTGCAATTTATTTTGTACATGATATTTGGTTTTTCTTCCTTTGTCATTTTGTGTTTTGGTCTACATAAGATTGATTGAAGTGATTCTGTTGGTTTGTGTGCTACACGTATTCCAAATGGTCTTGGGAGTTATTATAATTGCAAATTTCCTCCACAATAAAAGAAGACCTAAAGATAAAAGTATAACTAGTCAGTTGGCGCATATTTGCTTATAAAACTTTTGACAGTAAGCATTTTTCGAACTGAATAGATGCAATATCATTTTTAAATAGGTTCAGTATACTGAATGCCTAGGGTACTTATTTTTTTGACTTCGAAACTCAATTGCTTACTTACGTACGCCTGTTACCCATAATGGGGCATAGGTCACTAACCAGCAAATTATTTTTCCTGTTTAGTGTTTTTTTAGCGAGTTAGAATTCTACGAGATAGGATCGCTAACCCCATACCCAATCCTCCTTCATTATTCAAGCTCAGGATCGGTAGTAACCACAGAAGGGCTCCATGCGGTGTTGACTTATAATTATCTGGTACAACTGAACTCTGAATGAAACTTACAAGTGGAGACATGGTCGGGACATTACTTACAAAGTTATTAGGACAACACAATCTAAATTACCAGTAATTGTTGAGTTTCAAGACTATTTCACTTGTTACGCTTGTCTCTAGGTATGCTTAAACTATTACGGGTTCACCTTAGTCGAATAACGAGAACAAAACAGTGAACGAGAGTCCAGGTAGGCTACTCTGATCCCTTGACCAAATTATATCAGCAAGAAGTCTTGATATACTGTAGAAGTCGTATTCTACAAACACCTAGCCAGCACACAATGAATCAGCGCACTAAAATTGCATTTATTTACACTCTATAGAGACGTCCTTGGGACAGTCACAAAAATAGCACACTTCAATAACACAGTAACCAATCACAGTCAAGGTTTGTCCTGGTGAGAAATGTGACCTCAAGGTCAACTGACCGGTCCATGTAATAAATCCAAAATTAAGATATATATCAAGCGAGTTCTGGGCATCTATCATCCCCAACAATTAGGTCATGGAGTTAGTTACATAGAAAGCTAGCGCTTTATTTGTTCTGAAAAAATGACACAATGTGTGCTAAGTTTTTTTCAATGTTTCCGAATTAAATTTTATTCTCGGTTTCTTCTTTTGCCCTCATACATCTATCTATCTACATATCGATCTCCATTCACAGGCATTAGCATATTACTATCTTCATAAATATAAAGAAGCTGAACGAATTTTATTGGCGGATACAAAACATCACCTTGAATTAGACAATATTTTATTGCTTGGTTTAATTTTGAATAAACAACAACGTACAATGAATTCCATTGAATTATTGACAAACAGTTTAAAGAAATTAGTAAGTTTATCCCAATTGTATTTATATTGTTTTGTTAAAGTACGATCTGATTGGGCGCAATGTTCAATTGTATAGTCTACATTACAGATTATTGTTAGTATGTAAGTTTGTTCGCAATGGGAATTCACAATTCCTACGGAAGTACATAGAAATTTTCATGAATTTATAGTTCAGAAGTTGCATAAATTCATGTAAATTGAACAAGTTCAATGTGAAAATCAAAAATCAATATAGAATGACTTTTTTCTGAGGCTAGATGAGCGTAAACCATTTGATTTGGTCATAATCACATGAAGTGCAAAGTAATCAATCCTCAAAGAGCAAGCATATTTTAACTTGATAAAAGGATGAATTGTTTATAATATGGATTAAAATCAATTGTACCGCAATTGATAAACTGAATATTTGCTGTGTATCTTTTATCATTGAACACCTTAAATTATTTCGAAATTACTAACTGATTTCCCAGTTCAATGGTTTCAGTCCTAAACAATTTCAAACAGTTCAATAGTAAAACTTTTGACTAAGGCATTGTCTAATTATATGGAACCTGCAGTTCTTCCAAGAATGCATTTTTTACCTTTTCTGACGAACAATAACTAACACAAAGCATAACTCCTTGACTTTCTGTTACATGACACAAACCACCCAATAGAACTAACATTAGAATTCAGAATACATATTATGTTCTATTCGGGATACATAATGAATGATTCGAGGCATTTACATTCCAGTGTTGATCTGCGCAGTAAGACTCGAACTCATTGTTTATATCTTCAAACATCAACGTTCATCTAGTAAGCCAGTAAAGTTCAGAAAGCCGCTAACTTGTTTAACGGTTACAAATGTATCATTAAGTTTCTACTTTTTTCTGTCAGGACTTGATTGCTTGGGGAATATTGAGTTGTTGTTCGAAGTAGTACAAATCATTCATTTTTCATAAAGAGTGATGAATTTAAGTATAAAGAACGGATACAAAATTTTTCTCTGCTCCTCTTTACTTTTTCTCATGACAAAATAAGTATTCTAAATGTTAGCTTCAATATATTATTCCCATATCTGCAACCAAATCGATTATTATTAACATACTGGATAGTTTCCTCTTTCCTGTTTGATAGGCTTTGTAATTCATTGTAGTTCGGGGTTATTTACCGCAACTCACTTACACCGTTGTAGTGTGTATGCTTTTATATGTCAAGCCCATAAGGCTTGTGTTCCAAGCCTTCAGACAATTTAACTAATCCATTCCTACTTCAGTTATTATTCACACGTTTTCTGACCTTGTCAATCATCCGCTCGTAACCTTGGTTGTTTTTGCTTGAATGTATAGTATTTCAACTCGGTTTTTAAACTTTTAACAGGGTTTTTTAAAATAACTAAAAAATTTTTTAAAATTTTCACAGCGTTTTTTAAAATTTTTTTGAAAAAAGAAGATTCATCAATAAAAACTTTTATAAATGTATGTTCAATGTTCATAAAATTTTGAGCATAAATTTGGCGTTTGTTTTTACTGGATTCCGAATTTATATTGACCGATGTATAAGAAATCTTTTTCAAAGTAATCTGAAGTCTATAAATTATCCTTCTTATATAGATTCAAGAGAAAGGCCTGTAGAAAATATGTTTTCTATTTTTTCTCGAATTTCTACCATCGTTATTAACGGGTTTAATTCTATCAATTCTTCAACAAAATTGATAATATTACCGCATATCTTCTTATTTGATGGTTTTCCTGTTTTTTTCTTCTCAACTCGCGATTCCTTTTTATACAACCTTATAATATTTGTAGCGGTCTGATAGTTTACATCTGTAAGAAATGCCGCATCCTTGACGCTGTATCCATCTTCAATAACTTTTTTTATAAGGCTTTTTCTTTTTTCATTCGAAATCAAGTTGTTTTTTCTATTTATTTCTGACATTATAAGGATTACAAAAAATTTTAAAAAACGCTGTGGTTATTTTAAAAAACGCTGTGAAAATTTTAAAAAAATATTTGGTTATTTTAAAAAACCCTGTTAAAAGTTTAAAAAACGAGTTGAAATACTATATATATCTATCGATTACCTCGTTTACCTTACATGTCTAGCTTATTTTGTCTGACTATAAGTACTGAGTCATGCTTCGTCACGGTGGGTTGGCTCACTCGACGTCTCCAATTTACTTCGCTCTGCTTGTGTGGTTTTCATTCTCATCTGTCTGCCTAAATGAGTGAGTGCATGGACGATTGCTTAAAATAAACTCATTCAACCGAATTCCTTTTTTGGCTTCTCATTACTGCCATCTCACAAACTGGGGTTCGCCTAAGTATGATATACTAGAGTGAAGGGAAGAATTCAGAGGCTAACTCAGCCACCTTTAGCCACACCATCTCAGATCAAGCTCGGAGCCTGTAGGTCTTGTATTAACAACGAGCAATATATTCAAAATCTGGTATTTCATATTTCCTACTTCAGTACATTCTCAATAAAATCTGACTGACCATTGTTTTTTTGTCTGAATAAAAATAACTCAAGCTATCATTTTATTTATTTATCATATAAAAATCTGTAGCATTGTAAGAAATCTGACAAAGAGAAAATTTATGATCATCTTGGTCAATATTATATGAAAATGGAGAATTATTTAGCAGCTATCCAAGCATTTACAAATTTTATTCACAGTGATCCTAAAAGACCACATGTAAGTAAGCAATAAATATATATACGATTGTCATTATTCGAATGAATTATCAGTTATTCTTTCTATTGGGTTCGTCACTAAATATGCTTGAGGCTATTGTGAGTTCACCTTAGTCGATAAACGCGAACGAGACAATTACCAGCGTCCAGGTAGGCTACCTTGAATCCCCGAAAATAGAGTAAGAAGGCTTTGTAAGCGTAGAAATTATATTCTACAAACACCCAGCAAGCACAGTACAAACAAGCATACAACTCTTATTTATTTATACATCATAGAAATGTCCTTGAGACAGTCACGAAAATAGCATACTAAAATACACAGCCGCCAATCACAGCCATTAATTTTGCTGGTGGGAATTGAAATCTCAAGGTCATCTGATCAGCCCATGCTGGCGAAACGTGAAAACCAAAATACGGCATCATCAAGCGAATTTCGGGGATCTAACATCCCCAACACTCCTCCCCTTTTTAATAGCTTGTTCTCCTGGGGTCGACTTGCATCTTGACTATTGTTCGCCGCTGTCTGATGGGATACCTTCGGGAACGAAGAACAGCTTGCTGCTGAGTTTCTTCTCGTGGCGGGGCTCTCGGTAGGTTGAAGGTGTGAGTGTTTCTCCAAATGAGCTGCACCGATTTTCGTGGTCAAGAAGTTAAACGACAGTCTCCATCTATGTGCTGATTACTCTACTGGACTGAATGATGCTCTAGAACCCCATCAGTGTCCCTTGCCTATACCTTAGGATCGTTTCGCTAAGCTAAATGAAGGCAAGATGTTTGCAAAACTGGATTTATCGGAAGCTTATTTACAGATTCCTGTCGCTGATGAAAGTTAAGATCTGCTTACTATAAACACATATAAAGGCCTATTCCAATATAATCGGTTACCTTTAGGAATCAAAATGGCGCCCTCCATATTTCAACAGGTGATGGATAGATACTATGCTACATGATCACTCTTCAACTAATAAAGCGTAATAGTAAGCTTTATAAGTCAGAATCACTGAATTTGATTGGTGCTGTTTGAAAATATTTCATATTGTTCACTTAGCTCTTCTCTTATTCAATAATTCATTTTTACTTATTATAACATTCCAATTGAAAAAGATTAATTATTTATATTTTATACTAATAAAGGTTTATTTATATCGTGCTCAATGCGCTTGCCGATTAATAGCCTTACATCTACAAGGAACAATTGTTCTACCTTCTAATTTTAATGATAACGTACTAAACGATATAGATCAAGCACTTGTTCTACTCAATACTAAAAAATTGTTAAATTATCAAATCAATTTCAGTGGACCAATGAGATATGCAGATTTAATTGATCAATGCCTATTGACACGAATTATTTACTTTGGCATACATCAACGCTATTCAAAAGCTATACTAGACTGTAATGAACTTATTCACAAGAGACCAGAATGGACAAGAATATGGGTTTATCGGTAATTGTTAAATGTTCATACTTCCTTCAAACACACACACGCATCATGTATTACTTTTATTTTTTTCGTTACAACATTGTTTACTACTTATAAGTAGAATGATTGAAATTGAGAAATTGGAAAAACCGATCGAATGAAAGTTGAACATTCATAGAAAATTTGCGTTTTAAAATATAAATTCTTCAAGAACTTCTATTTTCAATGTAGCATTTCAAGATTTCTTGTTAAAGTACACTAAATCTAATCATATGACTTTATAAAAACCAGGCATAATTTGACAAATATTGACCAATCTTTGTATGAGATATTCTGAAATTAACAGTAATTTGTCAACACGATTTAATTGTTACTAAAGTGTTGTGGGCAGTCAATATTCCATAACGAATAATGAATCTGATGCTCATTTATAAGCAAATGTTTGACATTCGTAAGAGTAAATCTAGAAAATTCAGCAAGTTTCACCAAGTATTGAACATCTCATTACTATACATCCATTGTCCTAGATGTTTTACTAATGGCGCCTCTCATAAAAAGTAAGAGATTGTAACTATGTGTATGATAAAGAAAGCGATCTGACATAAACTGATGGATTTATAAGGTAAGTACTTGATATTTTGGGGCAGAGTTTTGGAGATTTGTGTTTTTTCACATTTGAAATCATCAATGAACACAAATCTCCAAAACTCTGCCCCAAAATATCGTAACAGTGCTCATCAGTGACTAGCTTCGTGAGGAAATTTTCGGAGTTCTAGTTGAGATGTGACCAGCGGAGTTCAGCCCTGTCGGATGTAGGCAGTAACTACCAAAGACAAATGGGTGAGGTCGCGCGAAATCCCTAGATCAATCAGAGTTAGACATTAACACCGTTGGATGCCGGCTCAGTGGTCCAATGGTTAGGCGTTCGCGCACAATACCGAAGGTCCCGGGTTCGAATCCTGCGAGGTGCGGGAGTCGTGGATGCACACTGCCACTGCTGATGAGTCCCATACCAGGACGAAACGGCCGTCCAGTGTTTCCAGGTTTCTAATGGTGGTCTAACAATGATTGATTGATGATTTCAAATGTAAGTACTTGAAGTAAGCCTGTGTGAAATAAACCATTGTCAAAAAATAAGATTTTGGCGTGAATGATTAGCTCAGAGGTTTAACGATTAGTGTTGTAAATGTTGGACCCGTACTCCAACTAAAATCACAACATATTTTGTACAATTATTTATTATAATAAATGATGGTTTCTTAATGTTTTTTTATACTTTTAGCGGAGTATACAAATATTTATTAAAAAAACATAATTTCTCTGAAGCTGATTTAGATATGGCTATCAAAAATGACCATAAATCCTCTTTAGCCTATTATATCCGTGGTTTATGCCGTCAAGTATGTGGTAAATCCAATGAAGCAATTCAAGTGAGTACACCATTTTTGAAATAATAAATATACTACTCATAATATTATCAGTAGTATCAAAATATAAAGGTTCAAGTTTTAGGAAAGTATTGTAAGTGTAATGCGTAAGTTGTGAATCGGAATCATCGTAGACAATACAAGTTTATATATTTCGGGATCACTTGACAAAAAAACGATTCAATAAAAAGGCAGATTTGCTGAAAACAATATTAGCTCCCTCACAGGTTCTGGGGATTGAAAACAGTATTAGAATTAAATGTATATCCTGTATTCTTAGAAATCATTGGAGTTCGAGACATCGAATTCCAGTTTTCCAGGTTATATTCATAAATCACTATCAACTGGAGTTCACCATACACATGAATATGATTTGAATTCGGTCTTCAACCTCTTAGGGCTGTTAAGGAGAGTAAAAATCTCGCAGTCACCTGTTTGTATCAACAAACAATTAAATTTAACGGTATATTTATACATAAATTATTAACCAGTAACGTAAAAATGTCAACATCTTGCATAGAATCTCTGATTCTTATCCCTATAGTATATCTTTCTCGTTTAACCATTGACAAGACTACTAATGAGTAAACAGTATGATCTTAATTCTAAGCTCGTCATCAAGAATAGTGTCTCAATGCAACTAAGATTTGTAAAAATACTAGTCAGCAGCTAGGTTTATGTGATAAAGTTACAAAGGCTAACTGTGATTTTTGTTCATTGTACATTCTAGTAACCGTTAATAAAACGAGCTCTCAAGAAATGAATATTCTTCATTCATAATTTATCTGACTTTTTGAATTATATCATTGTTCTTTTATTGAGCACTGATGGGCATTATCAGATATAATGGCTCTAAAATCCCCGGTGGTTTCATCATGTCATTACTCAGTGTAAAATACAAATCGTTTATCATTCTTATCTTTTATGCTAAACTCTTAGATTTCAGCCTTATAAACTATAGGTCAGATTAGAACGGATAGTCTAGGCGGCCGTTTCGTCCTGGTACGGGACTCATCAGTGGTAGTGTGCAACTGTGACCCGCTACTCACAAGAACCGAACCTAGGTAGGATCTTCATTCTAGTGCAAAATATCATGTACTTACTAGTTTCTAGCTCCGAGAGGAGGTTTCTCTGAGTTCTTGTGAGAACTCGGGACCAGTGGAGTTCATCCATGTTGAGGTGTGAAGCAGCACTCACCAAAGATAGTGGATGAGGTCTCGTAAGCTCGTGATTTGATTAAAGTTAGACATTAGAGCCGTTCGATAGCAGCTCAGAAATCTCTAACGCTCCATATATATTTTTACTAACCTAATGATATCGATCCAAGAACACTGACTGAATTAGAGATTGCTTTTTACTGCAATCATTAATAGACATGACATGTTTTTTGTTGCACTACGGGGTTGTGAAAATTTTTAAGTTACATATTTGTAATCATGAATCGATCTTTGTAAGACCACCATTAGAAACCTGGAATCACTGGATGACCGTTTCATCCTGGTACGGGATCACTCATCAGAAGTGCACATCTACGACTACTGCAACTCACAGGATTCGAATCCAGGACCTTCGGTCTTACTTGCCAACGCCTAACCTCTGGACCACTGAGCCGGCATCTAACGGTGTTATTGTTTAACTTCGATCAGTTCACAGAGTTGCGCAACCTCATACACTGTCTTTGGTAGTTACTGTCTACACCCAAACAGGTTGAACTTCATTGGTCACGACTTCCCACTAGAACTCGCAGAAGATTCCTCACGGAGCTAGTCACTAGTGAGCACATGTAATTTGCATTACAGGGTTCTGATCCAGAGTCTAGGCGTCCGTGCACAGGACCGGAGGTCCTGGATCTGAATCTTGCGAGGTGCAAGAGTCGTGGATACGCACTGCAACTGCTGAGTCTCATGCCAGGAAGAAACGGCCCTCCAGTGCTTCCAAGTTTCTAATGGTGATCTAACTTTAATCGATTCATGGTTTCAAAAATATACTTTGTTGTGTTTTTTTATCATCTTTATTGCCAATCCCTTCCTCCTACTTCTTTGTTTTTAATAAATTTTTTAACTCTCAGGACTATCATCACGCTATTCAATGTGCTTCAATGGATGGATCAGTTCGACTACATAGTTTAATTAACAGATCAATTTTATATCTAGAAAAATGTCAAAATTATCAAGCGGCAATAAATGATCTTTACCGAGCAAAAATAATCTTGGATAAATTAATGAATTCTACCACATTGACAGATGAAAATGAAATTCAATCAACAAACAATGACCAGTGTAAAAACGATAAAAAGTTCGCGAATTTATGTATTCAATTGATGTATACAATTGGTATTTGTTATCAAAGGTAAGAAATAGGGAGATAATTACTTACTTACTTACTTAATTTCGCCTGTTACCCCTAATGGAGCATAGGTCGCCCACCAGTATCCTCCAACCAACTCTGTCCTGGGCTTCCTTCTCCAGTTCTGTCCAATGTTTGTTCATTCCTCTTACATCTTTCTCTATTTCTCGGTGTAATGTGTTCCTTGGCCTTCCTCTTTTCCTTTTGCCTTGAGGGTTCCATGTAAAGGCTTGTCTTGTGACGCAGTTAGGTGCTTTTCGTAGTGTGTGTCCTATCCACTTCCATCGCTTCTTCCTGACTTACAACTCCACTGGAATCTGGTTTATTCTCTCCCACAGTAGATTGTTGTTGATGGTGTCTGGCCAACGAATCCGAAGTATTTTGCGTTCATAAACACTTGTATCTTCTGTATGATGCCTTTCGTAGTACTCCAGGTTTCCGCTCCATACAGTAGAACTGTCTTGACATTTGTATTGAAAATCCTGATTTTGGTTTTGTTTGAAAGTTGTTTGGAGTTCCAGATATTTTTAGACTGTAGAAATGCACCCTTACTTTGACAGTCCGCGTCCTCACATCTGCATCCTATCCACCTTTCTCGTCGATGATTCTGCCCAGATATATAAAGGTGTTAACGTCCTCCAAGGCATCTCCATCAAGAGTGATTTGGTTGGTGCACGTTGTGTTGCATCGGAGAATTTTGCTTTTTCCTTCATGTATGTTGAGACCTACTACTGCAGAGGCTGCTGCTACACTGGTCGTCTTCTCTTGCATTTGTTGTTGAGTGTGCGATAGAAGAGCCAGATCATCTGCGAAGTCCAGATCGTCCAGCTGCGTCCTAGCTGTCCACTGGATACCGTACTTCCCTCCAGATGCTGACGTCTTCATAATTCAGTCGATCACCAGGAGAAAGAGAAACGGTGAGATTAGGCAACCTTGCCTGACATTGGTCTTCACCTCGAATGATTCTCTTAGCTGTCCTCTGTGCAAGATTTTGCAGTTGAATCCATCATAAGAATTCCGTCTGATGTTAACTATCTTCTCAGACACACCGTAGTGTTGAAGAAGCCTCCACAGTGTTTTCCTGTCCACCCTATCAAATGCTTTCTCGTAGTCGATGAAGTTGATGTGGAGTGATGAGTTCCATTCAATTGATTGTTCCACAATGATCCGTAATGTTGCAATTTGGTCAGTACGCGATCGACCCTTACGAAATCCAGCCAGGTCATCTCGAAGTTGGGCGTCTACGAAGTCCTTCATTCTGTTTAACAATACCCTGTTGAAGACTTTGCCTGTTATTCAGAGAAGAGTGATGCCTCTGTAGTTCTCACACTTGTTGAGATCGCCTTTCTTCGGTAATTTGATCAGGTATCCTTCTTTCGAATCTGATGGTACTTGTTCTACATTCCAAATCTTCTTGAAGAGAATGTGAAATATATTTGCAGTTGCTTCCACGTCTGCTTTCATTGCCTCTGCTGGAAATAGTGAGATGGTTGAAGATATATTTATATATAGAGTTAGAGATGTTTTTGTGATCATTGTATTTCATCAGGTTGGCAAAAGTAAGCAAATGACTTCATTTTATCAATGATATATGCTTAAAATGATGTAAATAGATGACTATGAGCTGAATTTATCAGTTGCACTGAGGATTATGCGTTGTGACTGTGTAGTTCATTAGAAGAAATAACATTGGAATACATGTTCTTAAACGCAGAAAAAATCCATGAACTAAAACACTGAAATGTGATGCAGAGTTAAACAAAAAGGTCATTGAACTGTTTATGATTAGCATCTAATCAGTGCTGAGGTTGGAATCATTTTTAATTCGAATAGTAGGCAAGATGCATTCGATAAAGCTTTTCCATACATCAGTCACCTGGGTACTTTTAATGCGTTAGATATCTGATTGATTTTCTTTCGAATCAATCTACAATTCAACGCGATTCAATAGCTAATCAATACTAGTATGAACGATTAACAATAAATAGGAAACTTTTAAATCTAAAACACAATATGACTAATGTAAATGCTTTATCGGCAAAAGATGTCCATAAAAAACCGTTTCCACATGTATGATGCTGTACATAATCAGTGTGGAGATGGTTGATAGTAGTGTTGGGGAAGTTCGATCTCTAGAGCTCACTTGATAAAGGTCCTAATTTTGGAGTTTATGTTTTCCGTGCAAAGGATGATCAGTTGACCTTGAAATTACATTTCCCACACGGAAAATCCTTGTCTGTCGTTGGTTGATGTATTATTTTAGTACGCTATTTTGTGGCTCTCCCAAGGGCGTCTCTACGATGTATAAATAAACTCGATTTGTTTGCTTGTGAACCTCATATTTCTGGGTGCTTGTAGAATAATACACTTTCTTCGCCATATCAAGACTTCTTCCTCTACTTAGTGGGGCCTTTGGACGCTCAGATTAGAGAGTAGCCTGTCGTGTTACTGGATCATTTACCGTCGCTCTCGTTTACCAACTAAGATGAAGTCATAATATTTCTTTGAACAATCGATGTGTAAATGATATGCTCGTCAACTGATATGCTTGAAACTATTACGAGTTCACCTTAGTTGGTAAACGAGAACTTGACACAATAGGTTACTCTAATCTGAGCGCCCCAAGTTCCCATTAAGTCGATGAAGAAGTTTTGATATGGAGTAGAAAGTGAGGTTCGCAAGTAAACATATCGAGTTTATTTATACCTGATAGAAACGACGTTGAGAGAACCACAAACATAGCGTACTAAAATAATAAATCAACCAACAATAACAGTCAAGGATTTTCTGTGTGGGAAATGTAATCCCAATGTCAACTGATCAACCCATGCGCGAAAGCATAAAATCCCAAATTAGGACCTTTATTAAGTGAGTTTTGGGGATCTAACGTCCCCAAAATTAAAAAAAGCTCGATAACCTTCTTGTTATATTACAAGAAAAGCAAACAGGGTTAAATCATATTTCTCCTTATAAGAGATATGGAGATCGTTTTATTGCATTGAAATTATGAATCGATCAACATTAGACCACCATTAGAAAAACTGAAAACACTAGACGGTTGTTTGGTCTTGATATGGGACTCATCAGCTTTGTGCATCCACGACCCACACTTTTTCAATTATTCTGATAAACAAATTCATAGAGGTCCAAAACATGTTCTAAATACCATGATAATATTACTAACATATTGTCTAAAAATGATTACAGAATACATAATGGTTTATAGGTATGATGAGGTTAACATAGAGATCAAGGTTACATGTAGATGACGAATAAATGACGCTGTACATTCCTTAAAAGGATAACATTGGTGTGAAGCAGTAGTTTGAAAGCATTAGTTGCTAATAGGAAAGATTTAAACATCTAACTGATGTTTGAATAGAGTTATCTGTCCCTTCGAACCTAGGACCTTCGTGGATGAGCACTGTTGATGAGTCCTGACCCAGGACGAAACGCCCATCCAGTACTTTCAGGTTCCTAATGATGGTCTAACAAGGATCAATTCATAATTTCCAAAAGTAACTCAACAATCTTCTTAACTTCTATTATTAGACTTGAATTGTATGCGGAAGCAGAACAGATATTCCGTAAGTTAACCTATCAAGAACCTGGTTTCCTTCAAGGACATTTAGCACGTGCCAATTGTTTCATGGATTATGGTGGATATCAAATTAAAATGAAGTTAACAAATTCAAAAAATCTTTGGAATAAAGCATTGGAAGAATATGAATTCGCTGTGAAATTAGATGAATTCAGTTTGGAGGCGAGTATTGGTTTGTCAATGTGTTTACAAGTAAGTGGAATGTGATCACGTTATGTTTATGAAGTAAAATGGTTAGTAAAGTTTGAAGAAAACTATTGATAAACAAGTGATTTCTAGTGAAGTGTAACAATTTGAATTATGTGAAAAATCTGTGCATATAAAAGCAATGAAAATCTTTTCTGTTTATAGCATTACGAACTGTAGGCTTGTTTTATGGTGCCATTTGGTAAGCGTAAAAAGTATATTCTACAAACACCCAACAATCACAATACAATCAAGCACACAACTCTCGTTTATTTATACATCATAAAAACGTTCTTGGGACAGTCACAAAAATAGCACACTAAAATACACGGCGACCAATCATAGCCATGGATTTCACTGGTGGGAAATGAAATCTCAAGGTCAACTGATCAGCCCATGTTCGCAAACGTGAAATCCAAAATTAAAGCATTTAGCAAGCGAGTTCTGCGGATCTAACATCCTCAACAAATGTGTGGTACAACAAGTTTCCATTATTCACTAAAAAGTAACACCAAAAGTCCAGGCTAAAATGTTGATATTAATATGCAAGTCTTACGCTGAATTTTTACTTGTTTGTTATCTTAGATTGATCTCAACGGTGGTGTTACACATGCACGTCAACATGTCAATTTGATAGGCTTGAACTATTACGAGTTTGCCGTGGTCGACGATCCGGCGATGGGACATGCTACTCTAATCCGATTGTCCCAAACCCCCACTGAATAAAAGAAGGAGACTTGATATGAAGTAGAGCATGTATTCTACAAACATCCAGAAAGTACTAGGTCTGAGTCCAGAAGAGAATCAGGATCCCCGACTAAGGATCCGGGTCCGTGTCATAAAACGTTACAAATAATGCATATTTTTACATTTAGGTCGAATAGGGAATAACATTGAAGTCTGTGAGATTGACAGTTAGGACGTCCAATAGGAAACATCATTTGAAGTTCATAATAATAGTTCCTATAATATCAAATGAATTCATGAGTTTGTTTGATTACTTGTTATGCTCTTCAACTGATATGCTTGAAACTATTAAGAGTTCACCTTAGTCGGTAAACGAGAGTGAAGACAAATCATCCAGTGACATGATAGGCTATTCGATTGTCCCCGGCCCTGCTAACTATATCAAAACGTCTTGATATGGTGTAGAAAGTGTATTTTAAAAGCATCCACAAAATATGAGGTTGACAAGCATACAAATCGAGTTTATTTATACATGATAGAAACGTCTTTGGGAGAGACACAAACATAGCGTACTAAAATAACACATTAACCAGTGACAGTCAAGAGTTTTCCGTGTGGGAAATGTAATTTCAGGGTCAGTTGTTCAGCTCATGCTCGAAAACATGAAATCTTAAATCAGGACCTTTATCAAGTGAGTTCTGGAGATCGAACGTCCCCAACACTACCATCAACCATCTCTACATTGATTATGTACAGGATCCTACATGTGGAAACGATTTATATGAACATCTGTGGCAAATATCGCATTCACTTTCCTAGTCATATTGTTTTCTAGATTAAAAAGTTTCTTATTTATTGTAAATCGTTCATACTAGTATTGATTATCTATTCAGTCGTATTTAATTACAGATTGATTCAAATGATAATCAGTTAGTTATCATTTTGAGGATGTTAGATCCCTAGAACTCGCTTTATAAAAATCTTTATTTTGGATTTATTTCATGGACCGATCAGTTGATCTAGAGATCACATTTCCTACCAGGAAAATCCTTAGCTGTAATTGGTGACTGTATCATTTTAGTGTGCTATTTTTGTGACTGTCCCAAGGACGTCTCTAGAGGGGTATAAATAAACGCAATTTGAGTGCTTGGGTTGTGTGTGCTGGCTGGGTGTTTGTAGAATACACTTTTTACGTCATATCAAGACTCCTCGTTAGTTCCTTTGGGTCAAAAGATCACAGTAGCCTACCTGGACGTTGGTTCATTGTTTTGTTCTCGTTTATCGACTAAGGTGAACTCGTAATAGTTTAAGCATAGCTAGAGACGAGCATAACATATGGAAAAAATTTCTCATAGTTAATTTAGATCCCTAAAAAAAAACTTTTTCATTTATTAAGTAAAACAACCAAATACATCTTGATATTTGATTATAAATTCACTTTTAACTAGTGGACTAATGAGAACATTACTGAAAATCACAAAGTGAAAAAATTTAGAAAATTATTAGAAATTATGAAACAAACAATCACTGGTAGTTTTGTACTGGTAATTTAACTCATTTGCAATAGATAAGTGAGTTACTTGGAGGTGTAGAAAAAAACTTGATTGTGATCGATTTGGTCTCGTGTGCTATTACAGGTTTGAGGGCGGTTGTTACTTCCCGGACGCTCACACCGTGGAAGAGCTCTAGTTGTCGATTAATAGTCTTTTTGTTTACAGCTAATACTTCTACTACCTCTACTATTATGGGATTTGAATTGACAATTGAGTCTCTGTGCTAATATGGTATGGCAAGTTGAGCTGATGTACGTACATACAAAGTTCTACGCTGTAACTGACTGACTGACTGCAAAAGATAACTGCAACCGATAATGGTTTGAATTATTTTTCTCTAGTTAGCACTTTTTTTATGTCGAGTTGGTTTGCTGCCGGATGGGGTCGCTAAACCAGGAAAATCACTCGTTGACTTGCTGATGACATAGTTCTATTCGGTGAAGACGCTGACAAAATGCAGAATCTTCTGACCACGCTAAGCAACAATGCAAGCATGTTCGAGATTCGGTTCCCCTCACCCCGAAATGCAAAATGTTGTTTCAAGACTGGATTGCATCGGTACCTAAACTAGTGATAGGGAGTGAAGTAGTCGAGCGTGTAGACCGCTTCACTTATCTCGGAAGTCTCATCAGCGCGGATACAGAAAGCTCGATTGGCTTTTGTTAACCTGCGTCACTTATGGAGAAGGCCGACAATAACCTCAGAAGGACTCTAGGTGGAGTGAATGATAATTATACTGAGATGTATACTCAAGTACCAACATATCATATATAGATTTTTTTATCAACCAACAAACCTACTCTTTTTGTTTAAGGTTACTTTCAAATTTAAACTTATAATTTTTCTTTCTAAAAGCTTGTATTGATTGTTTAAACAAGACAATTGATAAATAATTGAACATAGAACACAGTTTTGTTTTTCTTATTCTGTTGAACTATTGAAAATAATAATAATAATAATAATAATAATAGTAATAATCACAACAGTGCACGCATATCATCAATGTCTTATCTATTTCAATGAAAAACAAACAAATCCTGTTTCACTAAAGAAATCACTGACTCACATTTTGTACAATAAATAAATAAACATGTGAGCTTAAAACGTATTCAACAACAATAATAACAACTTATTTAGTATAGATCTCTCTCTCTCCATACATATATATATACATATATATATATATATATATATATATATATATATATATATATACAGGTGGATATAGTATAGGCAAGAACAATCTCTGAAAAAAACTTAGAACTCTATAAGTTTGATAATAATTATTAGTTCATAGATTGATTGTCTAGTAGAAATGACCTAGGCGAATTATGTCTGTGCTGACTTGCATGCAACTTTGATAAGAGTTTATTTAAACAAAAGAAATAAAAATGGATAACTACTCTGTAGTATGATACTGTGGTGCGAGCTACTTATAAGTAGTATATGACGTGTCTCAATGGAATGTCTGTCAGCAGAAAATGAGGGAAGATCAAGAAAGGAAGAGTTAGAACACAATGAAATTTGTATGAAACGCATGAATAGTGACAATGGATTGATGTTTTGCAACAGGAACAGTCCAGTTCGATATGATGATGGACTGATATTTTGCAAATGAACGATTTACGATATGGTTTTCCGATTTTACTGATTAACTCTGTAATTTTCGTTAAATACAATTCGGTTGCCCTCACCTGTGTTCTCCTTCACTACAATACTACTGTATGATGCTTTATGTACATATATATCTTCGTTATTTGTAAATAAACCTCTTATTATCTGGCATCAAATCCGATAAAAATTATCATCAGAAAATCAATAAAATCGACTGTAACAAAAACTATACCTGAGTACGACGGTATCTTTGGAGGTCATTTTAAATAAATAAAAAAATTTCTTTTTTTAAAAAGGGGATACGCCTGGAAAATTGTTTTATTCACTCCAGTTTTATTTATTTTTTTTATTTGTTGATTCATATTAGACACAATACATTTAGACAAACAAATGCACAATATGTCGTTTTTTTTTGCGCGCATTTTATGAACCTGTTCAATTATCAATTTAGCCCGACTCATATTGTTATTATTATTATAATGAATATTGAAAGATTGTATGATTATGATATTAATTTCGTTTATTTATTTTTTGAAAGTTCTTTATTGTTTTTCGAAAAATTCCAACCTATTATAATAGACATTTTTCAGCGAAAAAAATAAAAAAACTGTCAATATTATCTAGATGAATTGAGTGAATGAAGTAGAGAGTTCGAATCTGTAATTTAACTATTTATTAGTTCATTTATAATATAATTGGGAGAATTTCTCATCACTTTACAGATAGAGATTTGTTACTGATTTGGAAAAAATAACCAATGGCTACTGTGATCCATTCAGCAGTCATTTACCTAGAAAATATTGATCAAAGTAGAGGAGAATGGATATTATTGTCTGTATACTTGTCAAGGTCATGCAAACAAATGTCAGTTGTGTTGATCAAAATTAAATTATTTAATTTTGAAATTAATTACTGAATATAATACACCCTAGTTGTTATTGTTGTTATTATTGTTAGATCAGGTTGATTTACATTCATCCTATAAAATATTATATTAGTTGTCTGGCTAGATTGTTTTTTTCTCTGTTGACTATTATAAATCCTTTAGTTTTCTCGCATCGAGTGCTTACTTACACCTGTTACCTCCAGTGGAGCATAAGCCGCCAGACAGTATTCTCTAACCTACTCTGTCTTGGGACTCCCTTTCCAGTTATGTCCAATTTTTGTTCATTCTTCTCATGTCTGTCTCTCATTTCTGAGCGTTACGTCTTCCTTGGTATTCCACTTTTCCTATGACCTTCAGGGGCTCCTCCTGGAGGGTTGAGCTTATGTTTGGCGACCCCATCCCATAAAAGAAGAACTCGCTCTGGGAGTAGACAAGAATTAACAACCAGAATTTAAGCCTATTCAGATATGGTTAAAACAAAAAAATGCAAGTTAGTAGACAAAACAGTTCTGAATTGTTGTTAAATTAGGCTTTGAAAACCAGGCTGTACTTGTATGGCTTTCTGTCAGTCTCCAACGTTGCAATCTCTATTGCCAGTGAAACGAGCCTAATATATAAAATCATGTTGGATTTTTATATTTACTTTTTTGTTTAAAATACTAAAATGGTATTTATCCAACTAGCTCTTATTAATTATTTTTTTCTGTTACATTTTTGATTTGACCTCCAGGTTTTAGGACGTTTAGATGATGCATTAAAACAAATTACACATACGTTAGATACTTATTACGATCTTATAGAATCTGGTGGCCATAATGAATCGATCGATGACAAGCAACAATCTTCATTGAAATGTCATAACACAATACTAGCTGATGCCCATGATTGTCGAGCAATTATATATTTACAACTTGGACGACCTCAACGTGCTATCGATGATTTGACAGCGTCAATTCGACTAAATCGTTATTCTACAAAATATTTAATCAATCGTTCTGTTGCATATTTTCGTTCTCATCAATTAATGTCAGCTATGATTGATCTCAAGTGAGATTTTAACATGCAATAATTATCGATTTGAATACATTTTTCATTGAAATAATGCAAGTATAGCAACTTATTCATGACACTCAACTAGAAGAAGGCTGTTAACATGACAGTTTAACCGAACCACCATATGTTAAAGAGACCTGAATAAACTGTGTGAATTCAATGGTCTAATTAAAAGCTATTGATGACTTCTAAATCAGTAACACGCTGTTAAAGCTGAGAGGCCTGGAAACCTCTTATGAAGTAATAAGTAAACCACCCGATCGGGTCTAAAACTCTCTTAGCTTCTGAATGTCATAAAATTAATCTCTAAATACAAACAGAATAAGTAATACTTACAATGTTTCTGACTATCAAAATTCAACGTAAGATGAAGGAGTTTTGAACAATAGACAGTACACTGGAGCATGACTGTGTTTACGTTTGTAATCAAACATAACTAACGTTCTCTTACAATGCAATTGTATTTAATATGTTTAAGGATGGTGACTAACTGGATACATTTCGACTAATGATTGCAATGCAGTGGTCTACTTTATCAAGTTCAGTCAATTCACTTTATTTTGTGGTCAAACTCTGATTGGAGCCACTGAGTAACTACTTTACGGTCTGCAAAGAGTTGCACCGTAGTAATCTCACCTTCTTACTAAAACATCATGGGTTTCATTTCAAATCTAAATACCAATAAAGACATGATTGTTGTACAGTTAAGACTGATCAAACCATAATTTTTAAAACTATGATTTTATCTAAATTTCATGTCAGTATTAACTCAATTAATCACTTTTCTTATGTTTTGCTCTTTAATAACTTTTACTGTTGAATAACATGAAAAATATTCACTATTTCATCTTAAGAAATGCAATTCAACTTGATTCAACAAATGGTTTCGCTCATTATCATCGAGCACTGATTTATTTACATCACGGACAATTTGAACAAGCTGAAGATGTCATCAATTTAACATTGAACACTGAACAACACTGCTCATTACCCAATTATCAGTTAGAACCAATGTCTAAAGATCCAAGTGTATGGGTATTAAGAGCTATCATTAAATTATTAAAGCGTAAATCAAACGACAATCGAGATAGAATATTATATGAAGCATTATCTGATGTTTGTCAAGCGGAACAATTGATCTCACCTAAATTATCGCATAAATTAACTCCTTGGCCACATTTACATTATACTAAAGGACAAATTCTTTATGAATTAAAATATTATCAGAGGGCTGATGAGGAATTTACAAAAGGTGAGAAAGTTTTCGAATTTGAACTATCTATCTATTCGTTACACTTTTAAATGAATAATTTCCTATTGCTACATCACATAGAATTGAGGACCGTTTTTGAAATTAAAAGGAAATTCAAACTTCATTTTTTCCTGTCTGTAATCATCTAACTAGCGATTGTATTTAAAACTTTTGAAAATGTCACATCATGTGTAATACATGTGAATTACTAAGTCACGATCTGAGAGCTTGTATTCTTCACTTTGAATTCTTGTCTAAGCTTTCCTAACTCTTCTAATCGGCACTGAACGTCAAAATAGCCATTAGTTAGGTATGTATATCCAACTGCGACTTTATCTGTGCTCAAAAACACTGTGCCTAACTTCAACAATGCTTATTTGATAGCTTTACTATTCTATATCAGAAACTATTCGAAAAATCTATTCACCATCCAATGAGTTAGGGTTATTGACGAGTGTACTGTGCAGTAGTTCGCTCCGTCCTACTATATGGCTGTGAAACATGGCCAGTGAGAGTAGATATTCGTCGATTATTGATTTTCGATCACAGGTGTCTTCAAAGCATTGCTCGTATATCCTGGGACACCCGAGTAAGCAATGCTGTTATTAGGAAACGGGTGCTAGGTAAGAATGGCAGATCAATAGATGAATTAATGAAACTTCATCAGTTGAGGTGGTTAAGACATGTGTTGCGTATGCCTAACCACCGACTGCCTCGACGAGCTTTGTTTTGTAGTATAGGAATAGGTTGGAAGAAAGTTAGGGGCAGCCGAACCAAAACATGACAGAAATCCATGAAGTCATTGACGAGTGGACTTAGCCATGTCGGTAATTGTCGACTACCTGGTTGGGGTCCGCGAGATGATAATAATCGATGGCTAGAGACATTGAATGACATGGCTCGAAATCGTTCGCAATGGCGCCGGTGCATTTATTCCTTGTGTTCTCTCAAATCCTAATCTTCTCGATTCTTCAACACTTCTAGTTTTGACTTGAATAATATCTTCTAATCCTAACCTCTCTTATTACTTCTAATACCTTTACTACCTCTACTACTACTATTGGATTTGAATTGACAATTTCATCTCTGTGTGCTGTGATGTGGTATGGCAACATGAACTGATGTACTTACGTACATACGAAGTTCTACGTTGCATCTGACCGACTGACTCACTGACTGACTGACAAGAAACTTTTATACATGAGAATTCCTAATAGATACATTTCTGTTGACTGAATTTTTTTTTAGTTCCCTCTCAATTTTGAAGTGATAATTCTCTATCTAATTCAGCATAATTCTATTCAATTTTCAATTTTTAAAAAAAGGAAACTAATCATCATCCTAATCTTTGTTATATTTTTTTTCATACTGATAATTATCAATTAGGTGTAGGATAACAACAATAACACAATAGCAGTCAATGATGATGATGATGATGATGATGATGATAATTTATTTGTCTCGAATTGTTTTGTTGTTTTGTTTTCTCTCTCTCTCTCTCCAATTCCCCGCACCATTCAAAAACTATTGAATATATGTATGTGTATACATCTACATGTGTTGCTACTGTTGTTGTTTGAAATAAACAATTTTTTTGATTGAAAAATCATTTCATCCTTATTATAGAAGTTAGATGACATACAAATTAAAAGTGTGTATTAAATAAATAATACGCCCTAATATAGAATGAATGAATGAATAAATAAATAATATATTGTTAATTAATAATTGAAACTTATTATTATTATTATTATTTTAAATATTTTGATACAGACAAACAAAATACTCACATGAAACCGCCCTAATAATAATAATAATAATAATACTAGTAAAAATTCGATAGCTTTACTTACCTAATACACACTCTCTTAAATGTTGAATTAAATAAAGTCTCCAGATCATAACTGCGTGAATAGTAGAAGATGAATCGAGGTTTGAAGAGGAGTGTAAACATTAAGTTTTTTTTTGGAGGAAAAAAGCAACAATACAAAAGCACAACACTTTTGAAAATAAAAATTTATGCATATCAATATGGAATGCTTGAATTGAATTGAATCGAAACGTTTAGGGATACTACTCCTAACTCAAGTGTCGTGTGGTTGAAAAAAATCACATTACCCAATATGAGACAGAGGATAGTAAAAAGAGTGTTTGAGCTCATTCGCATCAAGCTGGATTGTATCTCTTACTATCCTATACCATAAACTATATTGCTATATAGAGCTGAAGGTTTCCTAGTGTGGTGTATAGTACTTAAACGAACGATATAAGTAGTAGTATAAGAAGGGGCGTGAAAGAAGAAGTCTCACGGTCAGAAGAGGAAAACAGAAAGTAAATGAAGCAAAAGCAAGAAGTAAATGGAGTACCAACAGGAAGGAAGGAAAGGAAGCAACAACAGGAATGAAAGAAGGCTGGAGTGTTGGAAGTCACGATTCAAAGATGGTGTGCAAATAGAGTGTTCAATGTAATTTTTTCGTTTTTAATTGACTCAGAGTGTAAATTAGCATAATTCAGTCTTCCGCGCCAGCCTCAGTCTTCTCACTAGGAGATCAGAGGTTCGTTATGATGAACATTGTTGACGGTTTGGCATTCTTTTCGGTAGCATCGTGAGAAACAATGATCGATTTCATTTATACCGGTGGTTGTCGGGCAACATTCCAGGATGGGTCACATAGGCCTGTTCATGCAGTACATATTGACCGACGCGATCATGGATCGGAAATAATCATTATATATGTACTAGTGTATATATAAATGATGTGAATGGTCTACTAGGGCGTGAGGTACTTGTGTGTGGTTGCGACATGGGATTGAGCTCTGCTGTTCATGTTGTAGTGTTAACACGACAGCAGTCTCCTTGGTTCTCCTGAAAACCAATCTAAGATTAACCCTTGTCGATTGACGGTCAATTGTCAACAAAATATAACTTTAAACGTGCACTGTCACAGATCCCACTCCACTACATCAGTTCAGTCATCTCCATTACATAAACGCCTAAATTATTTAGCTTAAAATCAATTATTTAAACCTTCATTGTGTTTTTACCTTTCATCTAAAAGTCTAGTACCCTACCTTTACTAATTATAGATTCTAAAAACTATTTCCAAATAATTATTCTAAGTACCTTCTTGTTATTCTGAAAAGCAAATCAATAATACTAATATCCACCTCCAAAGAAAATTGTAACTGGAACTTGTATTATGTTCACTAAACTGTAATGTCTATTTCCAAGTTGTCTTCACCACAGATTGCTTTTACCTCATGTACCAGTGAAAACCAGTAAATACTGGACGGTTTTCTTTATCCTCAGCTATGCACATTCATGACCTCCCTAGGGGTCGAACTTAGAACCTTCAGATCTGGTGGTGAACACCTAAATACTAAAATCATCATACTGAAGTCCAGTTGAACTATTTTAACTTCAATCAGTTTATGCCATCTCTGTAGTTGACCGAATATCGAGTCCTAAGGTGTCTAGAGTGAATACTGCTGACTAGTGTTTTACTGCTTTTCAGCGGGCCTATGATAAATTCAACCTACAAACTTAACCGATCTCATGAAAACCGAATGATTGTGGATGAATCTACTTGAATGTTTTGATGAGCACTAACCAGAACGATTTTCTCTATAACTAGAGTTTTTTTTATTATTTAAAGTATTCATCTGACGAATTCAATTCATGAGTCAGAATAATTTCTAAAAAATTGTCCTCTTTTCAGCTAAGCCATCATGTCTTTTATTTGAAGCAATATGATGTTATAACACCATTTATATGGCATTGTTTCCGTTAATGTCGTATTAAAAATCGATAATTTTCTTTCTTGTTAATTTTCTTATTATTACAGTTAAATATCACGTTGAACATATGAATTTACCACTAATTAGTTAACTATGCTCGCTAGTATCAAGATATGTTCTTAATAAGTGTTAGGCATTCATTAAAACGTTAAGGGTGTATGTAGATAAGCAATATATTGGGAAAAAATCACTGCCAACTGTGAATATCATAGCACAATGATAAGTACACAAACAGAGTACTGAACATTAACTAGATATCGGATAAGGGGATCATGGAGTCATATTCTTTACTATCTGGGAGATATTCGCTTAACATACCTGTATCTGTAAACTTGTTATGATCGTCAATAGGTATGCTTGAAACTATTATGGGTTCACCTTAGTCGAAAAACGAGAACGAGACAATGAACCAGTGTTCAGGTAGACTACCCTGATCCGGTGACTGATCAAAAGTCTTGATATAGCATAGAAAGTATATTCTACAAACACCCAGCAAGCATAATGAAATAAAGCACACAAATCGCGTTTATTTATACATCATAGAAACGCCCTTGGGACAGTCACAAAAATAGCACACTAAAATGACACAGCAACCAATCACAGCCAAGGATTTTCCTGATGAGAAATGAAATCTCAAGGTCAACTGATCAGTCCATGCTCAGAAACATAAAATCCAAAAGTAAAGCATTTATCAAGCGAGTTTTTGGGGATCTAACGTCCCCAACAAAACTACAGACACGATCAATGAAAATTAATTAATGGGCACAGTAAATTCAACTTCAGCTATTTGTTAATACCAATAATAACTTTGATTTACCTAGTTTTATGTTAGTCACACGTAGTGTTGCTCTGTCCATCAGCCGAACATTGAAAATGCAATCCAAAAACGACTCAACAGTACTCTGTGATAACAGTATATTTTCGAAATGGAACTTCATGTTCGACCCTTAAGTCCAACTCTAATTAACCTCTTACATCGCATGCTGCATCCTGTAGTTCTTCCTTTCTTTTTATAATTCTGTTTGGCCGAATCATCAACAGTGATATTGAACATTGAATCTGTTGCGCAAAAAATTCAATTCAATCTACATGTTTTGTGCTTTATTTATTTATGGTATATTCAATATAAATTTTTGTTATATTCTACTTTTCTTATCGTTCCTTTTCTCGTTTTTTTTGTCGGTATAGCTCTCAGTTTACTACCTGCTAATATGTATATCTATCAAGCACGGTGTAAATGTCGTGAACAAATGTTCCATGTCGGTTTGATTAACTCATATGAAAGTGCACTGACAGATTATCGATTATCGATTTTAGCCAATAGCGTAACAATTCAATGATGAGTAATCATTTTTTTTTAAAAAACATAAATTCGGAAAAAAAGATTATTAGATATTAGAAAAAATGATATACATATTTTATATAAAACTTTTTCTTATAAATTTGAAATATACTTTATTATTGTATACTACATACAGCTGGTGTTCTTTGTGGTTGTGTTTTGGCTGTGAAGCTTTCATTGTTCTTTTAAACAAACATCATCAGTACAAACTTCAGATCTTTGTTTGTACTGATCAAAAAAAATTCATATTCGCTTATCTGACATGTATCAGCTTAAATATTGATGTTGAAATGTTGGGTGCTAAGAAGATTAGCGAGTGGAAATTAAAACGATTGTGACACATTTTTGAATAGGTGATTATGAATATGTGTGATTGGTGTAAATGGTATCAAAAAGTTGTGCTCAATGCGTTTCGAGGTGCACATTTACGCTCTCCGAACGGATAAACGCACAATGCAAATTACCTGTGCTCACTAGTGACTAGCATCGTGAGGAATCTTCTCCGAGTTCTAGTGGGTGGGAAGACGTGACCAGTAAAGTTCAACCTGTTCGGGTGTAGACAGTAACTACCGAAGACTGTGAGGTTGTGAGGTTGCGAGGTTGCGCAACTCTGTGAATTGATCAAGTTAGACATTATTACCGTTAGATACCGGCTCAGTGGTCCGATGATTAGGCGTTCGCCTACAATACCGACGGTCCTGAGTTCGAATCCTGCGGGGTGCAGAAGTCGTGGATGCGCACTGCTGAGGAGTCCCATACACCAGGACGAAACGGCCGTCCAGTGCTTCCAGGTTTCTAATGGTGGTCTAACATTGATCGATTCATGGTTTGAAAAATGAGAAATAAATCATCTCTGAGTTTAATCACTTTTTGAACTTGAATTAAAATTGGTTAGCTCAAGAACCTGGGTAATCACTGCTTGAATTATTGGCTTTAGTATTCATTTAAGTGATAAAAATTTAAAGAAATGCATAATAAACGCGAAGTTGTGTTTGAATCACTAGTTTAAATCACGGTTGTTTTGCTGTTATTCAAGGAAATCGACGGATTTCTAATCTTACAACCAACAGATGAACATTAAAGACCCGAATACCTTACTGATAACGTCTCTGGCTATAAAATTGCAAAACTGTCTTAAGATTATAGTACAGCACTCGTCCAACTACCTAATATCTCAGCTAAATCCAATTAGTGTCGAATAACTTAGACTACCAACCACACTATATCTTTTGAGCAGTAGTTGTTACTACTACTGTAGTAAAGGAGAACACAGGTGAGGGCGACCGAATTGTAATTATCTCAAATTACAGAGTTGATTGGTAAAATAGGAAAACCATATCGTAAATCGTTCATTTGCAAAATATCAATACATCATATCGAACTGGACTGTTCCTGTTGCAAAACATCAATCCATTGTCTGACATTTCACTGTTCATGCGCTTCATACAAATTCCATTGTGTTCCCGCTCTTCCTTTCTTGATCTTCCCCCATCTTCTGCTGCCAGACATTACAATGACACTCACGTCATATACTACTTATAAGTAGCGCGCACCACACTACGTATCAATTATAAATACTGATGTTCACAGTAACCATGGATAGTACGGAAACACCGAATCTAATGATATTTTTCCTTAGTTAGTATTATTATAAGAACCATTTATTGAATTAACTGGAATTGATTTCCAGTTTCATATATTCGTCAATTCAAATTTGGCAACAGAATTTTTGTTATTCGATATTCAAACTTGGATGAGATTATTGAATACGATCACCTCAGGCTATTTTGATAAATTTTTGGGGAAAAAAACAGTACATTTTTAAATAATATTTGCAACACTAAATGAACTGATAATAAGCGAAATTCTGATTTCAATTCTTCACAAATAATAGGTCAAATGCGAGGAAATATCTTAAGTAAGTTAGTCCTACGCGCTAAGTAAAAACCTAACGAGCGTGTCCATAGGTTTCACTTGCCTATCGTATCAACAAAATAAGATGAAATTTTCAAATCGACATGGTAATTTGATGAATAGCAGTGAAAAATATTTTTCGATGGAAAGTATAGTAATTTTGAAAATTAAGATCTAACTGAAAACAATCAAGGTATACATACATCTTTATCAGTATGGTCGAGCATTTTTATTCAATAGTTTAAATCTATCAACTTATCAACGTAACTCCAACATGGACTGATACTGTGTCGTAATTTAGTCCCTCCTAGCTTTATTCAAGCCTACTCCTACAAAAGCTATCAGTGAATCTTGAGGTTGATGACAGTTTGGCATACGCGAAACATACCCTAGCCACCTTAGTTAATAGAGATTCACTGAATTCATTTAGCCTTTTGCTATTATTCATTACCTTTCATATGAATTGTAACCTTGATAAGTTTGCATAACATATCAGTCTAAATCATTTATTACTTACTAAAATAGTTAACTAATTACTTTTGTTTGAGAATGTGATATATTCAGAAAATATAAATCTATTTACACATGTATTTGTAATGTCTCTGTTCTGAGAATTCGTTTCTAATCTCATGAATAGTATTCATTTTCATACTTACAAACTAATGTAATAACTTTCTTTATTATCGAGAACAAATGCCTGTGCTATCTTTGTCCCAATCTCGCAATTCTAATGAGAAGACATAACCATTGGAGGTCAACCCTCTTCTATCTAGCGTAGGGAGTAACTACCGAATACAAATGTGTGACATTAAGCAAAATCCTTAGATTGATCAGAATTAAACATTAACACCAATGGATGTCAGCCCAGTAGTCCAGAGGTCATGAGTTCACCCGCAAGACTGAAGGTCCTGGGTTCGAAACATGCAAGTAGGCAGGAGTCGTGGATGCACACTGCCACTGATGAATCCAGTGACAGGACAAAACGGTCGTCCATTACCTTCAGGTTTCCAGTGATGGTCTATGATTTTCAAATGTTTAAGTTTAAGAAAAAAAATCACTCAACAAATAGAACATTATTATTATTATTATAGTACATTTATCATAAATGTATTGTTTGTTTGTTATTTTTAATCATACAAAAGAAACACAATAAATTTAAACGAGATATGTGTGTATATATAACCTGCTCGTATTGAAGAAAATCATATGTAACATTTTTATAATAGTAATTGATTATAAAATGTTCAAATATCAATATTTGAATTTGGCCGATATGTGTATTTTATTTAACTCAGGGAAATGCACTAAGTTATTAATCAATTATCTATTAAAAATTCTGTAAATCTCAAAACCAAAAAAAAAAAATCAAAAACAACACGCTAAAACATACAAATAAAATAAACGTTTTTTTTTGTGGTAAAAAAGACCAAAAAACAATTTGATGTTAGTGTCTAGGTAAAAATGAAAGCAAGATGGAGGATAAAATGAAGAAAGTATTCAATGAAAAACACAAACCGAAAGAAACTAATACAGAGTAGAATAGGTAGGATATTAGAAACTCACTAAATCTTCTCTACTATCATCTATCTGTAAAGATTAATTAATTCTTTGTGTTTCTAGATAGAAAAAAAACAGGAGAGAAACAAGGCATTTTCAAATTTTTTTTTTGTTTTGTTCAAATACATCCACTCTTTTTTTGATATGTATGTCCATGTGTAGTATACATTGTGTGTGTGTTTTAATTTTAACTAAATGCTTGGCAATAGATGTTTGTTTTGTTTTACTGAAGTCAATGTTCAATATTCAAACTTTTTTTCTTTTTGTAATCTAAACCATCATGATTATTGAAATGATTTCCAAAATAGTATCAGTAGTTATTAAGATTATTATTATTATTATTTTTCTATTTGTAAATGCTGGCTTGTTTAAAACAGACCACAATCTTTTAAATTTGATTTAATAATTACATCAATCACTGCATCAAATACAACTTTAATATTATTATTATCTGTAGCACATGTAAAATGTGTATAAATTGTTTTCGTAGTTTTTCTACGATTTACATCTTCAAATTTTTCACGTATATAATTTGATGCTTCTTCGTATGTTTGACCACCTGTATATTCTGGAAAGCATACAGTCAATGGAGATTTAATGATTTTTTCAGCGAATAAATCTTTTTTATTTAAAAATAATATCATACTTGTTTCAACAAACCATTGACTATTACATATTGAATCGAATAATTGTAATGATTCATGCATACGATTAGTTGTTTGATCTTCAGCTAATTTTAAATCATATTCAGACATTGCTACAATGAATAGAATAGCTGTGACACCTTCAAAACAATGTAACCATTTTTTACGTTCAGCTCGTTGTCCACCTATAATTAAAGATGATAAAAGTACAATCAAATGTATATATATAATGTGAACTGAAGTTATGTATGTTAAAGTCACTCAATGCATACATCATTGAAATCATGCTCTTACTTGTGGAATACATTGAAATCAAATAATATATCTTTAAATAGAAAATAACACCAGTATAATCCACTCATGTTAGACGACCGTAGCTGCTACCTTGATGTGGTGGTCGGGCTTGCCTATCGTGATGACCCAACCGAGCGATACTGGCTGGAACATTTGTTCCTGCAGGTCCTACCATGCCAGGCTGGTCGATTGGAGGACGATGAGACTAAAAGCAGCTACTGAAGGTCTGAAGGCGAAGTCGTACTGTTTTTTGACTGCAGAGGGGTGTGACAGCAGTAAGGTGTTTCCCTTGGACAAACAGCATCTGCAGCGATGCTACTGCCTTCTCACAAGGAAGGAAGGGTTAGAAAAGGTCGACCCTAAAAATGTCACACCTCCCTCTACCTCACGGATTTCCGTTTCCTTGGGTAAGGGTGCCCACTAAGGTCCTTTAAGAACGGAGCTAATCCTCAAAAAACCTTTCATAAAAAGGCCGTGCGTGACCGGCCTCAAGCAGTTGTCCCTTGGACTCTGTGGTGACGCTCCCAGGTCTCTAAGACCAACACTAATCTATCTTCCTTTTCAGGTCCCTCAAGAAACACCCTTCCATGGTGTGGGCAGCCGGGAAGTAACAACCGCCCTCATACCCGTAACAGCAGGAGAGACCAAATCGGTCGAAATGAAATCCTTCCTACACCCACACATACCTCTCTTCTCTCCACAACTAACTCTACTCACATTCCCTTATCTGACTGACTGACTGACTCATGTTAGAAGTGAGAAAGCCAATTACCATAGGAGCTTAATATAACAATCTAGCGTAGTATCCTTTTTTGTAGAGGTCCATTTGCCTTGAATATATTATCTCAGATAAATGTGTACATGTGTGATACTGTAAGCTAAGAAATCATGATAAAACAGTCCAGGTTTTTTTGGTTTTCAATGAATCTTTAACTGTGGGTCAGTTTGTAGTGAAGGTGAACACAGGTAAGGGCGACTGGATTGTATTCATCGTAAATTACAGAGTTAATTGGTAAAATAGGAAAATCATATCGTAAATCGTTCATTTGCAAAATAACAATCCATCATATCCAACCGGGCTGTTCCTGTTGCAAAACATCAATCCATTGTCTGACATTTCATTGTTCATGCGTTTCATACAAATCCCATTGTGTTCCCACTCTTTCTTTCTTGATCTTCCCCCATCTTCCGCTGCCAGATATTACGTTTTTACTCGCGTCATATACTACTTATAAATAGCGCGCACCACAAGTTAAGTAAAGCAACTCTTTTGGTTATTGAACTGATGTCTGCCATCCATACGACCAAACAACATCATTCTTTAAGTGTTATCAGGTCAAGTGATTTCTTATTGCAGCTTTTTTCATGAATTGACTGCAGGACTATTGTTTATACGATCAAAATGGGCTAATTATATAACGGTAATCGTTTGATTTTTACTAGTGATTAGATTCACAATCAAATTCTGTTGTTTGTGAAAAAAAGATCAAGTCAAGAGTATGAAAGTAGTTGAGTGATAATATTTGAATGAGAATAATATCATAATATCAATAAACTTTGTAGGGGAGAATTATTTTTAATGGTAATTCATACCGGTGTTCTTTCTTTCTCATAGGTTATCTAAAACTAGTTACAAGCAATGATTCCTTTATTTGACTTGAAATGCATGAGGAAAATCAACTGTTATAGCAAACTTATAATATTTTATAAAATTCAAGGTTTTACTTCAGTAAATAGCTTCAGTTAGACGACCATTGAAAGTCAATAGGTAATTAACAGATCTTTCGCCCTGGTATAAGAATCTTCAGTAGTCCTCACGCATGAACACATCCCGTTTCAAAACCTAGACAAGACATTTAGACCTCATGAAGAGCTTTTAACCTTCACTGCATTTGAGTGCTGTCCGATAGTGTACTCTTTTAATTTCAGTCGATTCGTGATATTGTGATATTTTTTTCTAACCGTCAATATGACTGAATCACACTAGTCACAGCTCAGTAAAATTATAGATTGCCTAAGTAAAACGTTAGTCGGAGCCTCCTAATTCAGTAATTGTCACAACAGCTTGTAAGAACAATAATTATGTTTAGAAAATTGCGTTTCCTAACTCAAGAATATTTAAAAATGAATTTTTTTTGTAGTGTCTGATTATCTGGTGTTTTAAGACATTTTCCTATCTACCTAATAAAATGAGTGTAGCGTTTAAAAGATTTCATTCCAAATATTCTAAATATAATCTGCATCCACCTCTTAGGAACACATTTGTGTATTGCAGCAACCTAACATGCAAAAATGAAACTTTAGGCTTGAAATGGAATCACTGAAAATTTAATTTTTATATGTAGCACTTATTCGCCTACACAATTTTATAAATTCATCTTCAATCGGTAGAGGATGATTTTACATTGGTTCTCAGAAGAACCAGAGACTGCCCATGTGTTGTGTGAACAGCAAAGCTCGATTCTGTGACTCAACCATACAGGTACTTGACGCCTTGATGGACCATTCACTCCATTTATATACACTAGTACATATATAATGGTTATTTCCGATCTATGATCGCTTTGGTCAGTATGCACCGCATGAACGGGTCAATTTGACCCATCCCGATTACATGACTGTCAAACTCAGTAGTATTAGCAATGATCATGCAATATATCAGCTCAGTGACAATGTCCCTTAGGAATGTTGCAAAACCAACACCAGTATCAATGAAGTCGGCCACTCTGCAAACCAAATTTGTATATGGACTGTTAGTAATACTTCCCAAAGCAATGACAAACGATCTAGTATGTTCACAACGAATTTCTGGTCTCCCAGGAAACTTTGAGCACTATATAGCAATATAGCTTAGGCATATATATGCATCGTATGGCATAAGAGATGCAGTCCAGCTTGATGCGAATGAGCTCAAACTATCTTTTTACCCATCGTCTCATGTCGGGTAACAATTTTTTCACAATAGCGAAATTTCTATTTTTTGACCATATGAGACCTGATTTAGGGGTAGTATCCCTTCTATATTTTCGCTAGATGAGTGAAAAAATTTACCAAAAAAATGTTTGATTCTGCACACTTATTAAATGTTGAAAAATCTCAAAACTTTATTCTAAATTGAAATTGTTTTCAATCTAAAAATTCACGTTGTCAGAATAACTTACTCAAATAAAATTAAACCTTGATTTCCTTTCAAACAAATTTATTCAGTATAATTTACTTAAAAAAAAATAAATGTCATTTCTTTTTATTTATGACTTGTTCATTTAAAATTTATATTAACATGTAGGATAATAATTTTACTACTAAAACATTCACAATGACTAAATAATTGAATATTTAGATTGATGAGACAAACAAACAAGGGAAACTAAAAGACACTATAGATCAAGTAAATAAGTTCCATTTCAAACTTTAATCTGTCCTAGATATTAGAGTGTCAGGAAAAAATTTGGATAGTTTTTAAGTTTGAATTACGCGCTATACACTATTTTTAGAAGTTACATAGTATTGTGGTGCGAGCTACTTATAAGTAGTATATGACGTGAGTGTCAGTCAACGTAATGTCTGGCAGCAGAAGATGGGGGAAGATCAAGAAAGGAAGAGTTAGAACACAATGGAATTTGTATGAAACGCATGAATAGTGACAATGGATTGATGTTTTGCAACAGGAACAGTCCAGTTTGATATGATGGACTGATATTTTGCAAATGAACGATTTACGATATGGTTTTCCAATTTTACTGAGTAACTCTGTAATTTGCGATAAATACAATTCGGTCGCCCTACCTGTGTTCTCCTTCACTACAGTATCACTAGTGTACATCGCAAATGCTGATTTGAAACAGTAGCATTAACTTTCGTAACATTGAACAAAGTAACATGTTGTGTTTAGATTGATCAATCAAAACCAATGGTTCACTGTTGTGATATTAGAATCGGTCAATGTTAAAGCACTATTACTGTAGTGAACGAGAACACAGGTGAGGGCAACCGAAATGTATTTAACGCAAATTACAGAGTTACTTAGTAAAATACGAAAACCATATCGTAAATCGTTCATTTGCAAAATATCAGTTCATCATATCGAACTGGACTATTCCTGTTGCAAAACATCAATCCATTGTCACTGTTCATGCGTTTCATACAAATTCCATTGTGTTCTAACTCTTCCTTTCTTGATCTTCCCCCATCTTCTGCTGCCAGACATTACGTTGACTGACACTCACGTCATATACTACTTATAAGTAGCTCACTCCACATTACAAACGTGGAAGCACTGGATGGGCGTTTCTTCCTGGTGTGGGACTCACTAATGGCAATGCGCATGCACGACTTCTACTAATCGCGCAATTTGAATCCAGAACTTTTAGTCATCGTGCACGCGAACATCTACCCTCTGGACCATTTCTTCAATAGCCTAGAAGTAAAGCGTTCTACTTGCTAGAATAATAAGTTGATAAATACTGAATTTGAATTTCAATTCGTTTACAATGTTTTAATTTTTAAAAGTTGTTTTTTTTAATGTAACAATGTAACAATGAATTTTCCACCCAAAATGATTCATTTAAGCCTAACTAACTAACTAACTATGTATCACGTTATAGATAGTTAGTTAGTTAGTTGGTTGAATTGTTCCTTTGAAACTTCAAAATTTTCTGCATATTTATGTCAAAAAAAAAATTTACTAGTTCACATAACATTCAAAATTTTGAAAATAAAGTCAATCACAACAGTAAACGAACAAACAGAAAAATTCTAAACGAATTCATGCTTTCAGTTGAACATGAATAATTACACACGCACACAATTTTTCATATATTAAAAATAATAAACCCTAAGATAACTGCTCTCTCTCTCTCTCTCTAATTAGAAATACTTGTATATATATATC